CACCCATGTGGCATTGCCCGGGGCCGCGCCCGGGGGACCGCGGACCGTCTCAGAGACAAGTGCACTCACTTTCCAATTGCCAAGGTTGAATTGGCAATTGCAATTTGCAGTGAGCAAGGAGCTATGCGCTGCATCCCCTAGCTGCAGTACGTGTCATTCAATCGTCCCCCAAACTCTGAGTCGTCACTTTCTGGAGAAAAACCCTGAAACATGGACGAGGCTCCAGCTCTGCTCTCATTGGCGAGGGAGAGGATTGGCGAAGGTCGACCTACAGCAGCTTTGGAAGCAGTGAGTTTGCCACCACCTTGCGCTGGCTGTCCTGGTTTAAACGAATTGGGAACTGTCCAACGGCGGAATGGTCTGTGTGCCTGGCTACAAATTGCTGTGATCGGAGAGGGTTGAAGCCGGCGATGATCCTGGCAGTCATATTTGTGAAATTTTGTTGCTGGCGGCTGATTCGGATTGGGCAGTGCTGACTGTTGTTTTGGGAATGACTGCCTCGGTTCTTCTCAATTGCTGATTGTGAACGCCCCAGTGCGTCGCCCTCATTGAATTGTCAGCTACACCTCAAAACTTTTTTACAGAAAGACTGTCCAGTTAGTTGGTAGGTTTTCCAAGCGTAGACCCACTAAGTTCATATTTCTAGCTGGATAGAAAAGTTGGCAGCCTTCAGCGGCACCTCGGCTCAATTAGTATGCTGCCTCCTCTGCCAGCACCGCGCACTGATCGTCGCAACTTTTATTGCCTACTCACCAGCTTTGTCAATCTTTTGCAGATCATCGCTGCCCTGCGGTTGACAGGTGGCGAGGCTGCCGTCCTGCAAACTCTGGATCGTGCGCGGCAGATGCACCAGTCGGGGGCCGCTCCACAGGGCGCTGCAGACCAGCTGGCGGCGCTTTTCGCTCAGTGTGTCCTGGCCGAGTCCTCCCGTGCGGCGGGGCCTGCGGAGAAGAACGGAGACACAATCGTCCCAGATGTCAGTTACTCGAGGGGGTTTGAGGAGGCACTGAATGGTGCAGCTCCGCAGTCGAGCGCTGGGGCTTTTCAGGTATGTCTGGTGCCCCTGCTATTTTCAGGACGAAAGTACCAGGAAAGTGAGGGGGGAACCTGATTTTGACGAGCTTTCTCATTTGTTTCCAGGAACTTAATCCGACTGAACGATGTTGCCCTCGATACTGACAAGGCCTTCCAGCTGTTGCAAGAAGCTTAAAGAGGGGTGCAGGAGAGGTTTTGTTGGGGTCTCAAAAGAGTCCTAACCAATTTGTCACTCCAAAATCATGTCAGGTCTGATTATGGAGATATGATGTCAATCCGGGTTTGGTGGAAAGAAGTCGACCTTGTGATATCAAGGGCTAGAATTGTTTCCGAAAGTCAAACGCTTGGATTGAGTTTATCGACCATTCCAAAAGACGGAGAGACAGCCAAGTCTTTTCACTTTTAAAAAGAACTGAGGTCGGAAACAGGAAGATTGTCCAGTTTTCAGCTTCGGCCCTCCACAAGGAAGAGGTGGCTGAAGCTGCTAACGATTCCCTGCCAGGAGAGCAATCACGACGCCTCACCAATGGAAGACGACAGCGAGTCTCGGCAAAACGGTCGCGTACCCATCCTGGCTGAAGAGGGCCGTTTGCAAGTTGTGCGGGATGCTTACGCAGACGGCAGCAGTTTCCTCTGCCTCCGGTGCAAGGGCGTCTTCAAAGTTTCTCGGATGGACGAACATATGACGATTTGGTGTCCAGGCCTCCCGGGTACTTCTGAGCCTGGTTAGGGCAGAGGTGCTTGTCGGATGCAAAGTTGTATACTGTTGTGTATGAAGTTGGGACATGCCAAAGTTTTGGGCTGGTCGACTTTCTGAACCGATTCCAAACCAGATATCCATGTCGGTCACCAGCTGTGTTTACAATCAAGAGGCGCAAGCGACCGGGTGTTGTTGATTGGTCGGTGCCTAACATCATTTTCAATTATTGAATTGAGAATTTGTGCCATGCTAAAATTTAGGCTTAGTTACTCTGTTTCAGTTCAGCTTTGCTCTTCAGCAAGTTCAACGTTGGAGCTACAGTAGGCAGGAGCTGCAGGTGTCAAGAGGATAACGATGGACTCTCAATCAGATAGTATGTTCGAGAAACTTGGGGAACTATACTGGTCCGGAGAAGCATCTTGACAATCAGATGGTCATCACCGGATCGCTCAGGGACGTACTTCAGGTGCAACATGTCCCTGTACAGCTGCGCATGGCCTCGATGTGAGGGTCGAATCAAGCGGGTATGTTCATTGACAAACTTATAGGGATCAGAGATGTGTCGATTGCGCACAATGTCCAATCTTTGAAAACGGTCCGTACATATGTCCCGTTCGGGACTCTAGCTTATTCCGGTGGGCGTTATGGAAGTTCAGCAACCAACTGCCGGACTCTTGGATTTGCAGATTGGCTATATCTCTTCTATAGTGGTTAGAGCAACACGACGCATTCCAGTTTCAGCAACACGTACGGAGCTATAGCGGCCATCAAGGACGTACACATCTGCTGCTCAATCTACGTGTCCAGCCATACGCGACCACGTCCCCAAACGGACCCTCGTTGCGGATGTCTTTGACACTCGGCTTATTCTTTCGGTACTTATTCTCTCGGATGAACAACTCAGCTGTCATTTGCGAACACCCCAGGAGTGACTGATCTTTACATTGCCTCCCCGGTCAAAACTGTGTCCCGGTCTACCGTCTCCATCAAACAGGACCTCGCTCAAAACACTGCTTGGTCTCCGAGCTCCTGTCCTGCCATTCCCTCCCGTACACACTTCTCAAAGAAAGCCTCGAGTGTGTCTTTTCCGTAGCTGGGCGTGGCATCTTCATCGTATTTCCCGGTCTTTGAATCCAACACGAGCATACTCTCCGCCGCATAGTACCGTCCAATTTTTCCAAACTCGACACCGTCTTCCAACGCCGGGAAAGCTTTCGAAAGCAGATCCAAGAACCCGATGATCCCGTCCATTAGCTGGATCGGAACCTTGATGAATCTTGGATTCCGGCCCACGATGCGGAAGAGCATCTCTCCCTGCTCCGCGGGAGTGAGGGCCTTGCCAGGGCCGCCGATGGGGAGGACCCGGTTCGCCAGCTCCGGCTTGACAACACAGTCAGCAATGTATGAGGCCAAGTCCGCTTCGCTGATGGGCTTGCACGCGCACAGCTTGCCGTCGCCGAACATCACATACGGGCCCCCGCTCTTGACGCTCTCAACCTGAGAAGAAGGTGGGAGTTGAAGTAAGCACACAGTCTTGTGACTGGAGCAACTTGATGCTTCAACGAATGTATACAAATGCAGTTTTTGAAGATGTGAGGCAAGAGCTTGCTCAGCACCATGTCGAGCTGAGATTGCAGGACATTCAAATTTGTTTCCAGCATCACAACGGATCACTGGATATATGTCCAAGGCTGCTTCAGAAAAAAACCTTTTTAAGCAATCAGTTGGTTCTTGGACAAGCTGCCAATCTGGCGCGCTTAAAGCAAGCAGCCCACAAGATCCAGCATGTGTAAAGTGAGAAAAGCAGTGGGCTCAGGTAGATCCACTGCTTGTAAGTTGGAACTGTGCATCAAGATACTGTCAGATACTCCTTGTTGCCGCAACATAACCAGATGAGAAAAACATATGGCTTCTTTCGAAACAGCTTGCATTGCAAGAGGCAGCAACGATCTAGGGCACAGGCAGGGAGCTTGAGGTTGGACCAACCATAAGTGCTTCAATTACGCTACCCAGTGGGACCCCCATAGATGAAATCCAGAGTTCCAGGTTTCCACAATTAGGTAGGCAGTGACACACCGCTCAGAGCCAATGGAGCAGACTGTGCAAACAAATATGTCATAGTTGTGCCCTACAATTTTGTTGGGTTAGGAAGGGCATGTGGGCCCTGTACGATGATGTACCAGAACCCTGAAGGCCTGCACCCCTTGAGCAGAAACCGCAACTTGGAAAAAAGATGTACTTCGCCTTACCCCATTTCCTGCAGGTCACACGAATTTTTGTCTTCCGAAGCGTTGTTTTCATTTCCGACCGACAGAACCGAGAAAATCCATGCCTGGAACAGAGAAAGCGGCCCCAAGCTGAAGGCCCGTACCTGCCCCCCCAGGGACTTGAAGAAGGCGGTCGGGCGCACGATGCTCCACGTGAGCCCCTCCGTGTTCTGCAGCTCTTCCTCCAGCTTCAGCTTGGCCTTCTGGAACTCGAGCAGCGGCTTTTGGACGCAGATGGCCGACAGCAGCACAAAGTGTTGCGCCCCCTGCTTTCGCCCAACGTCCAAACTGTTCTTTGTCGCCTGGTAGTCAATCAACCACGAATCCTTCTTACCCCCCGTCCGGCTGGCGAGGCACGACACGACCACGTCGACACGGTCCCCGTTCACCGCTTTCTCCAGCGACTCCGCCTCTGTCGCATTTCCAAACCGCACGTCCCCCCCGGCAAACTCCGTCTTCGTCTGGTCCTGCCCCTGCTTGCCGCCGATGCCCGCCTTCTCTCGCGCGACCGCAATCACGTTGTACCCCCGCTTGATGAGTTCCTTGGTGACAAATTTGCCAATGTAGCCCGTTGGGCCCACCACAAGGACATTGATGTCCTTGGGCTGTTTGTTTCTGAAGTCTTGCGTGCTGGGCGCCACAGGCTGGGCAGCAGCCTGGCAAGTGCGTTGACACCTTTTCCTTACAGGCTTCAGAAGCGGAAGAGCCTCCTCAACAGTACCAACTCCCAGATACGAGCTTCTTTCAAAGTGGGGGGGCGCCAGAAGCGCGTTCACCTTTGCTCTCGGTGAAAAAATTGGCGAACGGTCATGGCACAAGTGATTTTGCGCAATGCCGGCTCCAAGCTCCTGTCTTGGCAACACTGTGCTGTGGAAGCAACCGACAGACACTTTTGACAGCGCAGCAGAGGCAGCCATGGTTTCAGTTGCCTCCTCGTGCCCCCGAATCACACTTTTTGCGCCCACCTGAACTTGAAGGCTGAACTTTGAAGACTCTGACTCTGAGACTGGGGTCTAGCTCCAGATCGGACCTTCCTCCTGAACTTCCAACATTATCCACTTTGGAATATCTGATTTAATCCCCGCAATGCCCGCATCCTTCACCGTGGCCCGGGCTATTCCAGTGATAAGCCGGTTATGCAAGCCAGAGTCAAGTCCCTCGCACGGACGCAAAACGGCCAAAGCTGCCGAATCTTTTGTCAACTTTCGAAATCGGACAGCGGACTGCGGGCAGTCATATGCTTTTCACCGTCCGATCGTGTACCGTCCGTAGGATCTACGCTCCAAGTTTGCTGCCACATGTCACGGGCCGAGTCCGATACCATACTCAGTACGGTACGGTTCGAGCGGTACCGTCGATCGCGTACGAAAGGTATGCACCGTCAGCAAGCAACCGGGCACTCCTAGTGACCTTAGGGTCTCGCGCTACAAAGCAGTGATAGTGTGTTAGGGTTACACCACTTCCTGTGACGGTTTGTTAGGGTTACTCCCTTTCCTGTGACTGCTCTCAGATTAGGGTTCCTACTAACGGCTAAGTCACTGTTCCTAAGATTTTAATGTGGTTTGCAGGCTAACCCGAGCATTATTTAGTCCGGCAAAAGCAGGCCCGGTACCAACCGCGTCCCAAAATATGGCACTGCGGACAACGACTGACTGTGCCCGTCCGGTGTCCGGTTTCGAAAGTTGACAAAAGATTCGGCAGCTATGTGCCCCTTGCCGCACGGACCAAGCTCCAGCATGCCGTTACCATAGCCGGTGATCAAGCCGGGGGTCAGGATGCAGACCGGGCAGCCGGAATGCTGCCCGGTACACTTGTAATCCAAGATTTAAATTTGCCAACAAGTACTTTTGATCAAAGAAAGTGCTTTCTTGAAACGCAAGGGGACCACCATGGTTTCTAGGGTTCCTAGGGTTCAATGACATGAGTAGGTAGATGCAGATTCAGATGCGAGTGGCTGGCTACCTGGGCGCACCCAGCTTGAGCTTGCAAGCTAGTGGCGTTTTCTTCTTGCATTGCAATCATCTTCGTGCCTACTTGAGTCTGCTTGCTCCTCGTTGACTCTGAAGGGCACAACTCATTTCTGAAGGGGATAGGTTGGAAGTGTGGCTGGCTATCACAACCTCTGAGTTGTGCAAGGTTGCCCATCATGCTGTTGCTCCCGTCCATTGTGCTCCTGTCACTCCAAGTGGTTGTGAGCATCCTTCTAGTCATCCCCGTGCCGGCAGTCAGAAGACTGGGTTTGGCTGTAGTCGGTTTCTTTCACATTCCCAGAGCGGCAGCGGTCGTCAGGACAATCTTTGGAGCGCTCGTTGTGTTCCTGCTCTCATCAATTGCCAGCATACAAGGGCTGCTTGTAAAAGCAGCAAAAGCGGAAGCGCTCAACACTGGCGACTCGCTGCGTACAGAAAGCGCATTGTACAGTGAATATCTGCAGGCATTCATAACCGGTAAGACAAGCTGGAGCATACCTGGGCTTATGATGCTTAGGTACAAAGTCTATGCCAGCTGTACACCCCAATGAATACAAATAGGAGATCAGGATCAGGCTCACAGGATTCCTGGTTCTCAACCTGTGTCATTCACACATTTAGATTAGTGGGTGTGTCTGATATATTGCAGCAAGAATAGTTGGGCTGCCATGCGTTGGAGAATTGCCAGACTCATTGCGAAGCACTGGTTTTCCAATCAAAGAGCCCCAGCGCTCTGTTTAGACGGAGTGGCATGTCGCGCAAAATGCTTCATTGGCAATCACTTGCCTTCTCGCTACCGCCTAGGTACTGGGGCAACTTCCTGATGGAAGGTGGTTGATGTGCGTACTCCTTTCTTTGCCTGCAGGTGCGTCGCTCTTGCTGGTGCTCCTTGATCACGCAGTTTATGCTGCTGTAACCGAGGGGGACAAGCTGAGGGTCAGCCATGATGCTCTGCAAAGGCAAGCAAAGAATGCCGGAACAGAGTATTTGAAGCTGCACGAAAAGTCCTCCGGCCAGGTGGACTACAGTGCAAAACTGGCAGCAGAAGAGGCCAAAGTCAAGGAGTTGCGCCAGCAGGTGCGCTCCAAATCATTAAATTGTCGTCGTGGATGGTTGTCTGCTGTGCAGCTGACATGTTTAAGCTAAAACTTGCACGCTGTATATTCAATTGAAATGTAGAATCCAATTTTGACAAGGTTGATGTGGGCAGCGTCCGCCTCATGTCCAGAGAGTACTGCTTCATTACAGGCAGACTTGTATTCTACTGGCTTGCTTCTACCCAACTTTGAGTCCCTTAACCTCAAACCTTTGGCCCTTTTGGAATGCTTCAGTATGTACAGATCGTCTAATCAGGCCAAAGGGTCACCACAAGCCATGCCTTCCTATCTGATTGGACATTCGACACTTACAGACGGACATCCTCCGAGAGACCGTGACCACTCTGCAGCAGGAGTTAGAAGATCGTCGCAAAGATAAGCAGATCACGGAGACAGCAGTGAAGAATGCTGAGGCGCTAAAACGACAAGCAGACGGGGTGGCTCAGGAATATGACAGATTGTTGGAAGAAAATGACAAGCTTCGATCCCTCCTCGGGAGAGTCGACAGCAAGTTTGCTCAAGTCGAAGGCAAGAAGAGTGCTTAGGAACTTACTTTGTCCTTAAAGTCCTCCGAGATTCCTATAGCCGCTAATGGAACAAGTCGGTCGTTAGTGACTGGCAGCATGCACATTCCAGACCTGTGTATAATACCCCCGCGCACACTTTCTTGATTGCCAGGAAACAATTCATCAGCAGAGTCGATGTAATGATTAATGATCGCACAATTATACTCAAAGTTGATCGCAAATTCTTGAAAGAACGGACCGTCAAGGCCTACAAACTAGCTGCATCAGTATTAGTGCCCCTGTACCATCCCACTCAAAACTTATGGCATGGCACTGAGTGAATACAAGAGCCATCAAGTATGTACTACAGTATATACGGTATATGCGGCCGGGGCCTGCCGGGCGCCGGATACCAAAGCGGAAATTATGCGATGCAGCGATCGGACCCAGGCTCCTAGAGCTAGATACTTGGAGGTTCTGGCCGACCAGCTCGATCTGGACCACTACACAAGCTACCTATGGTGGGTACCGGCCGAGTCAATTTTGACTCCGACCGCCACAAAATTGTAATACCGCGTATCGAATTCCGTCAGTGATACCGGCGGTTCACGTCACGGCAACTCAGGTTTCTGTTACTCGGGCGGTACAAGTACTCAGACAATATTGCTCGGCCGTAAGTCAGTGTTACAGGAGTGAAAGACAGTGTTATGTTTTACACTTGTGTGTGAGCATCAAACTGGCACACAAAGAAGAGCCTTATGCAGCCCATAGAAAGCTCTGACAAGCAAAGAAAAATGTTGGGAGAGCACCTTGAGGGTTTGTTTGAAGACCCAACATAAGGAAATGTCGAGGACAAATCGGAATAAGCACCATACAAGCCTCAAAGTCGGCCGGCATTGCTTGCTCTTGAAATGCGCCTTTTCCTACACTCTTCTTTCAACTTCCTGCACTCCTCTTTCAAGTTAAGTACCGCGGTACCCTCAGGTGGTTCGAGTCGGAACTTCCGACAAACACCATGAAATTTCAAATTTGCGGACGCGCAGACTTGCGCGGTACTGTACCGCCGAATATACCGGAGTTTACCGTTCGTCGACATGTCAGACAATTTCCAATTCATGAACTCGGACCGGATTCTAAAGTACGGCCGAGTACGGTCGTCAGTACCGTGTACATGAAATGTCGCGACGCGTAACACCGGTGAGTCAATTTGGTGACGGTACCGTCGCGCGATCGAGACCGCCGACACCCACCATAGGTAGCTTGTGTAGTGCACGTTAATATATTAACGACCTACTTTAAGCGGCTTTGATTATACGGAGGGCTGGGCAGAACATCGGGTGGCGGCCGAGCTAGTATACTTCTGTTTCAATTCAGGGCTGAAGCATCGTTGAACATGGTGCTCAATACGCGGTAAGTATGGGCCTTCACGCACGCAGGTTTAAACATCATACTCGCAAAGTTGACACAACACCAAGAGTCAAATCTGTTGCGATTTTGCGAGTGCAGCCGAAGGCTTCACTCAATACTCCATCAGTAAGAATCTGCCATTCGATGCCACCTTGGCGCTCTGCTCTAGAACAGTGCTCATCACGTTCTTCGTGAGAACATGTCCACTCGGATATTCTCTTTCCTGTACTCTTGTTGCGAGTCGAGTCCCAGATATGTACATTTTGATACTTGGAACATTAGCTACAGGCGACGGGGAACCCCTGGAAATGCGGGGCCTGGTTCTCCGACCTCTTGCGGCGCCTGATCGTCTGACCTCGGTGATCGGATAAAGACGCCTCCGGGCTCTCTTACGATCGTCCGCGCCCGTGCCTGGGCCGCGGGGGGCAGGTCCTCCATGCCCGCAATCTGATACGGCTGGATCATGCCGCGGGCGCTGAGGCAGCCCAGGTGGTATGTCTGACCACTGTCCCCATACTGCGCAGGTCAGAAGTGGCTCTTATAAGCAGACGGAATGAGAGGAGGAATTGTAAATAACACCATTCCTTCTGCGCAGATTCCAAAGCACGGGCAAACGAAGACTCGACATCGTCTACGGCAGTGCTATGCAATGACACTTTATGACACGTCAGAAGCAAGAGTTGTCGTCGGATAAGCTGTGGACAGCGGAACCCGATTCCCATGTACCCGTGTAAAGACATCGACTAAACGGAGTCGAGAGCCCGCTGTATGACGAGGCCCGGTCTGTGGCTCTCACCGCATCAGTGAGGCGGAAGCGGCCAATTCCTATGGCCTGGTTGCAGACGGCACAGACGGTGGTGGCCGTCGTGGGGATGTCGATGATATACGGCCGCCCGAAGGTGCCGCGCGTTGTGGCCGGGGCGCCCGGAGCGCCCGGAGGCTGATTGGGGGGTGCCGCTGGGCCAGACGCAGGAGGACCGCCTTTAATAAGACCAACAGCGCTTGATCAGCGGACGTTTTGTGTAAGGGTTACATGATATTTGTACCTGTTAAAAACAGTCTCGCAAGCAGCCGTACTAGGACAAGCGAGTGATGAGAGAGCGTGAAAGGACCTCGCTTCCATAATGCATTTGGATATCTTGCATTGTTGGGGACCAATATTGACGTGCCTGTAGAGGAAGGTGAGGAGAAGCGATTCACCGGTGCTCGTGCGGCATTGGATGCTTAGTCAATGACCGGCTTCAGGGATAAGCAGCGGTTTAAATCCTAGTCGCATAAAGCTTTGTCGAATAGCGGCCCCTTCTTCAGGATGGGCTTTCGCAGGGAATAATGCCCGAGGCTTCTCCTGCTAAGCAATTGCACAAGACCGACATGATATGCACTGCAAGCCGTAGGACTGAATTCGATCTGACAGGCACTCACGGCGAGCAGTCTCCGTCACCAGGCGGGGCCGATTGCGCATCAGGTCCCTCGCTCTTCCGTCCGACATCCCGCTCATGGCCTCCTCAAGACGTGCAGACACGGCCTGGAGGGTACCTGGACAGGCAGAAACCCCAACGGGGTTAGCCGGAACGAGATGTTGACTTGTCGTCTAGAGATAAGTCTCGGCCAGCGAATTGATTTCAGGGGGGGAAAATGATTCTAGAGCAGGAAGACCTCGAAATCAGAAGCATTCCGCCACTTGCTGAAGGCAGACGGGACGGTCCGACGATCATGACGTATGATCCTCCAACTCTCGTCGAGTAGAACCTCACCGGCCTTTCTGAGATCGGTGTATCAGACGCCGAGAAAGGAAGCTCTTAGGCACGAGACACCTGAGCAATTCGGGATTGGCGGGAAGTCCGTGCGCTTGTCACATGAAGTGCTCGCACGTTCAATCGAGCCTCTCAAGTATGCACAAAGAAGTCCAGCGGATAAGCGATGTATTTGGCCAAAATTCGAGCCACAAGGACGCAAATGTCCCCCGGGCCCGAGGCCCGGTACTCTTTCTACTCTCGGTGGCGGGCCTTACCGCTTCGGAAGACGTGCAGCAGGTGTCCCGGGGTCGTTCGGGCTGCCCGGGCCCGTGCGGGAGCGGCAGTGGCGGGGGCGGGCTTCAGCTTCTTGCTCGTCTTGAACACGCCTTTCCGCCGGTCAAACTCGGCCTTCTCCTCGGCAGACATGCACCTCTGCAGGCAGGTCAACATGAGGAGCGCGTGAGACCCGCGAGCTTCGTCTTTGACGGTGTTAGCTTCAAAGAGGCAACTGCTGCGAGGTGTAAAGGAGTTCGATTCCTTGTCAATTCTGGATCTATGAAGACAAGGAACGGGTGGAGCACCCCAGCTTTGAAGGGGTTGGGCCGTACTTTCATACATCGATTACCTCTTAGGGTCGAATATAAAACTGGCCAAGAAGCCATGTAAGATGTCCAACAGCGGATTGTCGTCAAGCTGGTTTGCCTGTCAGTATTCAGGAACATCACTGCAGACTCAGCGGGTAGGCGCCATCGGTGCCTAAAAACGGAAAACTCAATTACACTGCATGCGTCACTTACACTGGCGGCCCGTTCGATCATGCTGTCAATGTTATGAATCGGCGTCGGGTTGGCCCCCCCGGTCGGCTGGCGGCACGTGGGGCAGTGCGGCTTCTTGCTGAGCCACTGGACGAGGCAGTCCCCGCAGAAGGTGTGCGAGCACGGCAGCGCGTGCGCCGCGCACAGGAAGCTCTGGCAGATGACGCACTGCATCTCCTCGCCCAGCATCTCCAGCACCTCCGCCTCCGCGCTCTGCTTGGCTGCAAGAAGAACGGTATCTGCGTCAGTTCCGATCAGAAGACGAACCAGCTTGGTGTGGCTACCGATCGGGGCACTTGGCTCTTGTTTGGAAGTAGGCAGCGGACGCTTCGATTGGCCTTTGCACGTCATTCACACGTCAACGACAGTCATCGTAGTTTGAGACGTTCTCTTGTTGAAATTGGAGCGCACGACCCACCACTACCAGGTCGACATGACGGAAGATGAAGCGAAGCTAAGTCGTGCTGGTCACACTCTTTCCTGGTGAAGCTCCTGAATTGATTTGGTCACCCCTTTCTGATTCTCGTGCCCTGCCCAGGCTCTTGGAACCCAGCGTGACAGTTTGAAACGATGTTCAAAAGTAGCCAGCCCATAGTTCGAACCCACAATATTCAGACTAAGCAGAGAGTCAATTGGGAGAGGGTATGAGGATCGTGCCAATGCTCTTGCGCCATACTGTACGGAATCTCAGATGGAAAGGCCCAGCAAGCTTTGTGCACAAACCCTATCGGATGCTTAACCTCAACCAAACAAAGAAAGTTTTGTGACCATCGAACAGCGTAAAGATAGATATGCCGACTCTTCCATGGCAGAAGCGTTTCTTGGTCATGAAGCAGTACTCGGAAATAGCAGGTCAGCTCTCATTCTTACTAGCGCCCCTACCTGAGTCTTCCGTGGCAGTGGGAGGGGCTTGCGGTGGTTCCACAGGCACGCTCGGCGCGGACGCCTCTCCCGGAGGATCCACAATCAGACCATCAGGCACATCCGCATCCTGGTTCGCTGGGGGATCCATACTCGCAGGGACCTCAATCACCAAGCTCTGCCCCGGGTTAGGAGCACTGCCTGCGGATTGGGGCCCCAGGCCACGGGTCCGCACAGCGCCCCCCCTCCCGTCCCCTACTTCCGGCACCTCCAAAAGTGGGCAGTCGTCCGCTAAGCTGAGTGGCGTGCCCGGCGCGGCAGTCCGGGAGGCTGTCCCTGGTTTCAAAAGCTTTGCCATCCGTGATACGCCCGTAGACGGGGAGTCCGGGCTGCGCCTCTTGAGGGGGCTCTGCCGCTCGTCTGCGCGAGCTTTCGCCCGCACCACCTCCATCAGCCGCTGCCGCACGCGCTCTCGCCCCTCGTCAACCCGGCCAAGCCCTTCCGCAGTGTCTGCTTGTTGACGTCCACTCTCCCTATCTTGCCCTGCCTGTTCTGTGTTAAGCGCATGCCCAATACCGTCTCCTGTCCTGGCGGCTTCAGTCTGATCTTCTAATCTTTGCCTGCGTGCCCCGCCTGCCCCTCTACCAGCATCAGGCAGCTCCACTTCTGGGAGGTCAGACAAGTCAACGAACTCGTTTCCATTGCCCTGCCGGTCTCCGTGGATCCTCACCAGCCTCCTGCCTCTGCGGGACTCTCCACCGGTATTGCGGTCAGCAGGGTGACGTGGCTTGACTAAGTTGGCTGTTGAATCCGGTCTACTTGCATCCCCGTCCTGCAACTGCGCAGTGTCCTCTGATGGTTTTTGTACACGGTCTATACGGTCAAGCGTTGGATTAACTCCGGCTAGGTCTACTCTAGGAAGCCGTTCCTCAGCCGATCGAAGGCTTGCGCCCAAGGGTTTCTCAAGGGGCGCTGGTGGCGACAAGAGACTGCAGCCCGGGGGCTGTGCAGCATGACTCTGTTTGTCCAATTGAGGCACACCAGGGGGAACTAACGGAGCAGCAGGTTGGGCCTCAGAGAGTCCAACAGGACGTCCTTGGTCGACAGAGAATTCAAAACGGAAAGGGTTGGTGACTTCGGTGCTAGTCTCCAAGTGGGGTGTAGCTTTGTATGTTGGCATCCCTGTGCAGCAAAAGAGATTTGGTCACCTTCAGCCAGAGGTGGAAGCTCAGAGCTGGGGTCCATCAACCCCTGAATCAGTCGAGGTGCGTTGCTAGTTACAGGCTGCGGCCAATTGGGCAAGGCATATTTGCAGCACAAGATGCTCTTCAAGATAAGATAGGCGGTGCCAATACCAAAAAGATGGGGTGCACTTGAAAAGAAGAAGCACACGACACTTGGGGAGCTTGCATGATGTTGTCAGATTAGTGTGCAGACCTACCAAGAATGATGACGTCTCCTTCAGCGAGAGTGTGTGTACCAACAAGCTTATGACCGTTGACCTGTACGAGCAGTGCATCAAAAAGTCAATTGTCTGAGGCCTGTCCTGTTCACACCACCCAACAGGCATTCAAAGAAGCTTCATGATGCAGTGCATTGCAACATTTCCACAGGAAGCACTAAACCATTGAGAAGTGCATTCTGTGCCTGCCTTCTCAATCACCTTCACTATCTTGTAAACAACCTCATGTGAGCCAGTTACATACCATCGTCCCGTTTGCTGATGTGTCCTTGATGACATAATCTCCCCCAGCAGTTCGCGTTATCTCTGCATGCCACCTTGAGACTGCTGCGTTGGTGACCTCTCGCTCTGCAGAGGTTTTTGTGGACAAACATCTTATCTCAGCACTTGTGTGCCGCCCAAGACGAATTGGCCCTTGATACTCATCCAGGCGCACGCAGGCGGGGCAAGAGATGGCTTCTTCGTCTGCCCCCCCTCCTGAAGGCAGACGCCGTAACATGATTGTAGGCCCTTTCAGCACAAGCGAGCGCCGCTGTTTGAAAGGGATTGCTCTTGCTGCCACTGAACTCAGGGCTTGGCCATTGGTCCTCAGCGGCTTGGAAATCGGGTGGCATCTCACAAAATGAAGCGCCCTTCTCCCTTGTTCTTGACGAGACAGTCCATGCAATGAATGTGACAGGACTTTCAACTTTCAAGGGTCAACATCACTGTAAATGTCAGAGTGACTGTCAACAATGCCAAGACAGTCTGCAGAAGGATGGGCAATCAGTGTCACATTATGATTCAGACAATCACTGCCAGGTCAGCGCCAACTTCGTTCAAATTTCGCAGGTGTGAGCCGCAGCTCGAGCTGATCTTCCCTGTTCAGGATGGCTGCACCTGGGGCGAAAAGAATGATGGTGCTCCACAGGCATCTACAGAGTGCTGACTATGAGCTTCTGCAAGACGCAGCCTGCTGTTCTGGGAGGGCTTCTTCGGGTCAATCTGGAGAGCACGAGCAAATGCTGCTTCCAAGCATTGATTCTGACAGATTATCAGCTTTTGGCCTGAACCACACACAAACAAGTAGCGGCAGCAGGATGGCTGTCAGTGCACAGATAGCCATGGAAGCTTGTAACGGAAGCGCCTACCAGGTCAGTGATCCAGTTAAGAGGGCTTTGGAGGCAGGCAGCCCAGTGGTGGCCCTGGAGTCCACGATTGTTTGCCATGGTAAGTAGTTTTGGACTGCTAAAGCGGCAGAGCTAGCACCACCTGATTCGAAAACTCAACCAACGTGCGCCTGGTGGTGGTAAGCGGAGTACATACTAAATCATCAATTATCCATGTACTGAGACAAGCTGCCTATGGCGCTCACTTATCCTCAGTACAGGCGCTTCAATTGCGGTTTCATGACTGTTTGACACCTCGCAACGGAGTTCGCTGAGCACCTTCGAAAAGCATGAGACACATGTGTTGGAATGAACGGTGGCCTTTTCTCCTGCCCCAGAAAACTAGTTTTCCATAAAGTAGCTTTCTGTGATTGGAAGCTCTGCTCTGCTGACGCTTCACCTTCTGGCCGCAGCTTCATCTGTTGTAGCTCAGAAGATTAGCAAGCGAAATTGAGTTGAATTCGTCTACCTTACTCTTGTCTTGCACTGCTTATCGCTCTGATAAACTGAAAGTGGGGCGGAACAATGCTTATACAGGTATGCCGTTTCCCCAGAACCTGAAGACGGCCCGAGAAGTTGAGGATATTGTAAGAGCTAATGGAGCAGAACCTGCCACCATAGCAATCATACGAGGTGTGGTGCATGTGGGTGAGGGACTGAACTTACAAACCTCCAAGACTGGTGGTCAATTCAGGTTGCCCTCCTTGCAGCCATCAGAATTATTTGTCAGGCGACCAATTCTTCCAGGCGGCAATGAAAGTTACATTGCTTGCAGACATGACTGATATGCGTCAATAAAGGTGAAGTACCCAACTTGATCTTGAAGCTTTCAGTTCGAGACATCCACGATGCTCCTCTTATTCTGCCCTGAGAGGGATCCCCCTGAAGTCCAGTCCCCTGGTACAGGCTTGACTGGTGCTGAGCTTGAAGATTTGGCTCGCAGAGGCCTGAGCGTCAAGAAGACAGCTCGACGAGACATTGCCTATGTAGTCTCGCAGAAGAAGGATGGGGCTACAACCGTGTCAGCCACAATGTTTTTTGCAGCCAAGGTGCGTCGGCTGTATGCTTGAAAGGCTGCCCCTAATAGGTCCACAAACACACCAAATGCATCAAGCGATCAAGCGAGTCCAATCAGAGGCTTGAAAGTGGAGTGCTTGCATAGGCACATGTGAAAGAAGGAGCTGCTGCTTGGGACAAAGAAAAAATAATGCTCTCAAAGTCATCTAGACATCACTGACTTTCCCACGACGGAGGGTTCAAGTGAGCTCGGCCCAATTGCCGGGAGCACGAAGAAAAATACTCCAGATTTGCCTTCGTGAGACCCTGCTTCAGATTCTCGAAGCATGCCACTAAATACTTGCATTTAGAAGGACGTTGAAGGGACGAGTAGGAGAGCAAGCTGGGGGATGCTGCGAAACTGAGGGACGGAAAGGACAATGAGGACAAATTGCCACACGAAAGCAACTTGGTTTTAGAATATGCACGCGCCCTCTAACCTCCTAGCCGCAGCTCTAGTAGGCTCTCTACTGCGCAGGTTCTGAATGAGTCACCTTGCAAGTTTTCATGTCGTCCTCAGTCAGAGCCCTTCGTTTGAGGACTTCCAAGTCGTGCGTTTCCAGTTGTTATCGGTGTAAAATGCCTTCGGCTGAGCAGAATCAATGCCACTGTTGCCAATCCCAACTTCTTGGTCCTGTTTGCAGGTTGGGATCCCGGTTTTCGTTACGGGAGGAATCGGGGGTGTCCATCGAGGAGCAGAGAGCAGTGAGTAGACTCGGCGGTGGCCCTTTGGTTTACTTCTTGGAGATCCAGCCGTCAGAGCCTGTGGTTATTCGTGAATTTGGTGCCTCTGCTTGAAATGCTGACACACGTGCCCCATTTGCGACCCATTGTGCCGACAAAAAGAGCACGACGTTCGGTTGACCGAGGCGTCACATTTCCACCTAGGCATGGACATCTCCTCCGACTTGACGGAGCTGGGGCGCACACCGGTCGCTGTGGTCTGCGCGGGCGTGAAATCGATCCTGGATATTCCACGTACTCTCGAGTACCTGGTAAGCCGTCCAAGAATCAGTGTTCGGCTGAAGTGCTCCCTGTCTATTGCAAGTTTGCCCTATAATGAATGTGGTTAGTCTGGCAATTTCAGTTTTCTTGGGCCTTGGTGATTGAATTCCAAGAATAGTCACTGTGCGGAGATGAGGGCCTCTGACACCCCATGAAGGCCTGCGTCCTGTCGACGCTTATTTTGGGAGGATTCATTGTGGAGCATCGCTCGAAGTATGCTCGTTCTCTCAATGCGAACGATCGTCCTTGTTATATCTTCCCCAGCATGACCTTCACGTCCTGTCTTGCCGCTCAGGAGACGCAAGGAGTCACGGTCGCCGCTCTTGGTACGGACGAGTTCCCCGCCTTTTTCACGCCCCACAGCGGCTGCAAGGTCCGGTAACGCAGGCAAACCCCAGCCCCCATTCATACCAGGGTCTTGAAATAAGAGTCAAAGCAACTGCTCTGCATTGACGATTTGGCGTCGGACCAACTGTGTCAATGAACCTGGCCCACAAGAAAAGTTGCATTATTCTGAGTCGGTCGCGGTCGTGCTCAAAAAGCGGGTGTGTGTTCAGAGATCCCTTACTGCCCTTTCGAGCTGCCCGTGACTAAGGCTTTTGCGCAGGTCCGTGGGCACGAGTCAGTGGTAAAATCTGCCGCGGAGCTTTGAAGTGGTGCGGTTGTTGTCTTATATGTTCTGACACAAAGACTCTGCTGCGTTAATCACAGTGGTTAATCAGTGCAAATTCGTCCGCTTCGCAGGCCCCAAGCCGGGTTAACTCGGAGATGGAGTGTGCGGAGCTTATAGGTGAGCACACTCCTTACGGGGGACGAGAAATATGTTTGAGCTTCTTGGTTACTTCTGCTCGAGTGCTACCTTTTGCCTACGACTCGACGGCTTTGCTGCATGCCGATGGCAAATTTTCGACGCACGACTTTATTGCTCCGATGAGGACTTCATGGTTGTTCTCTTCTCCCACTTTTCCTGACTGAGTCTTGAAGCCCGTTACGTCGATACATCCAAAGGTAAAGGTCGAGCTATGCAACTACTTTGCCTGCAGAGAGATCCAGTGCGTTGGATTATGCTGTCTTTGAACAAGAGGAAACCATATGTTCTTGTTTGTCCGTTCATGCCGTACGCTGGAGGTTGGAAAGGACCACGGTTTACAGCTGCAACCGTGTCTGCAGACGCAAACGTGAGGCTGGGTTTGGGCAGCGGCATCGTGATCGGGGTTCCGATTCCTGAGTCGGATGCGGCGGCTTCGGAAAAGGTGGAGGCGGCGATCCAAAGAGCACTGTCAGAGGCGAGGTGCGAGCATCTCTTGCAAGTCGAGGACTCTGCTGACTGGCAGCAGCGCCTTCTTACGCTCTCCACAATCCGTTTCGCCGTAGGATCGAGACGATATGCCCGACTGTTCACATCAAAGGGAGGCGCTGACGTTTGCCTCTTAGCACTCCGTCTCTGACAGCCAAGAGACCTACTTTTCTTTGACTTACTAGAACGTTGACATCAAATTCGGTTTGCAAGTTCGCCCGCTGGCTCAATTCAAATGACTCGTTTGTCTACTAGGTTCATCTGCATAAACGCTTCGTCATTGACTCTTGGTGATTGCTTCCAGCGGAAAAATCAGTGGGGCAGACAGCACCCCTTTCCTTCTCAAGCGGGTCAACGAACTAAGTGGTGGAGCATCTTTACAAGCAAGTAAGGCTTCAAATCCAAGTGACTCTGTTCCCGCTTGCGCAAACTTGATTCCAGCTTGTTTGAGTGCAAGTAAGGAAGTTTGTCTTTGCAACACGTGTTGCGGCACCTCTGTCAAAGCAGCACTTTACTTGAGGTTTGTCTTACTTCAGGTTTGTCAACGAAAACCTTGGTCACCTTTTCATCTTCTCCTCGTTCTGCTTTCTGGTGGCCAGTCTTTGGGCTAAACTTGCCTTGACCTGGTCTTTTCTCCAGATGTCGCTCTCGTCAAGAACAACGCCAAAATCGGGGCACAAATTGCATGGCACTTGGCAACGATACACCGAGCTAAGACGACGCAGCTCTCCCGACTGTAACGCATCATGGATGTGCTGAATTCGTACGGTACGGGTCGTATGCGCAACAAAAGTCAATTGCACTTCTCAGTGCATACATGTGCGGTTATATCTGCTTGTTTCCCTATCTCGCGAAGTGATTTACACATACCTACCGTTCAGATCGTTTGTGTAGGTTTATAGTCGGATAAGATACACTGGCGCAGATATTTCTCTGAATTTCACCGTGTCTTGGGCACCGTATCATGTTCCAGACAAAGGCTACTGAGTGCATGGCTGCACAACATGGTTCAACGTAGCTCTTGACGATCACAGTGCTGCCTTCGAGCTGGCCACATACCTATGGCACCCTATATGATTAAGATCATGCGCACATACGCATGATGCATGCTGGCGTCCCGGCGCGGCCGCTGGCGCCGGTTGATTTATTCATTCCAACATGCCTGGCCCGCTCATTCCCACTAGTAGTATAGCTGTACTAACTCGCGTGCATGCGCGCACTTGCAGACGATCCTCACATTCAGAATATATTCGCGTAGTACAAGATACCGTACGTACTGCTACGTGATTTCGGCAAAAAATAAACAATTATGTGCCCTGCCGAATTCCGCTGGAATATATTTTGGAGCGATAATGGTCGACAATGGGACTTTTTAGCAGGTAGCACTAGGTCTGCCGAAAGGAATAAACGTTTCATAATTAACTTTTCGGCGTCGAAGGTGCCGAAATCAAATAGCAGTACGGGTATATCGAAACGATCAAGGGGCGGCCTCGAGCTAGGGATCAGCAACGTGGTAAGGCTCGGTCAGCGAACTAGCTCAAGGTGTTTAATTCACCATTGTTGCAATCAACAATCACTTTGTAGAGAGCATGTCACCTCCGAGAAAGAGGAATGACCACATCAACGCAATCAGCCTCATTTGGACCACGACAGACATCCGTTGCGCAGAGTCGCTTCAAAAAACTTGATTAAGGCGCAAATGCTCGAGCATGATTTTTGCGTCCTTCGATCGTCAAGTTGCCTGCGTTACTTCTTCCGTCGTGTCACTCTTCTCGCCGCCAAATCTTGCACCGTTTCCTCAGGCTTCCGCTTCCCTCGGCCCCTGCCCCTACCTCGGCCACCCCTTTCTGCTACCGGCGGTGCCGGTGTTGCCTCCTCTTTGGCGCCCTCCTGCTCTGCTTGGGCACCAGGCGCTTGTTCCTCCACCTTTTGGCTGACGGGCGCTAATTCTTTCTCCTGGGGCGTGGCACTCACTTCTTCCTCAACCTTGGGTGTCGTTGACGCTTGTTCCTCAGCTTTTGAGGAGGCAACGGGTGTTGTCTTCTCCACCTTGGGGCCGGTGGGCCCTTGTTTTTCAAGAGTCGGGCTTGCCTTTCCTGGAAAAACAGCTTCCGAGACCTGTTCCGCTAAGTCGGTCCTGGTGACCGCTGTGGAAGCAGTAGCGGGGCCAGCAAGCTCCTCTGCTGCGGCCACGTCATCCTCTTTGCTGCGACCAGAAGCCTCGGCCATAGTCTCCGTCTCTTGCTGGACAACATTTTTGTCCACCTCGAGTACAGATTCCGTGGGCGCCAAAGCTTCACTCGCAACCCCAGCTTTCTCCGACTGCTCCAAGCTTTCCTTCCCCTTCGCTTCTTCCCCGGCAGCATTCGACCTGCCCGTTTCTTCGCTCGTCTTTGTCTCCGGCGTGTTCTCGCCCGTTTTCACCGCCTGCCCCGTCTCTTCTGCAACCACGAGCTGCGCCGCTTCAGCCTCGACCCTTTTTGGGGCAGCACCTTCCATCCCCTCCTCTTCGGGCTGTACCCTCTCTGGTGCCGGCCCTTCTTCCGTCTTTTCTGCCGCCGGCTCCGCACTTTCTTTCTGAGGACCTTCCTGACCCCCCTCTTCCGCAACACTGTCCACCTCCATTGGCTGGGGACCCGGCGCCCGCCCCTCCCCTGCCGTGCCCGTGTCGTCGCCGGCCTTTTCTGTTGCCACCGCCCCTGAGTCGGTCGCCCCTCCGTCCTCTTGCTTCGTAACCTCCTCTGCAGTGCTTGTGCGGTCAACCTTCATTGCATCCGCCTCCTCAGCTTTCGCATCCTCCTTAGCGCTTGCGCGTTCGCTCTTATCCGCACCTGCCTCCTCTGCTTTCGCCTCCTCCTTCGCTTCAGACTCCCCCCCATCCCGTGGCCCGCTCTCTTCCGCCGCCCCTTCTCCCGGGTCCTCGTCGTCCTGTAGCAGGTCGTTTTCGATTCCCCCCTGCGACGCCTCCTCTTTGCCGGCGACCGCCGCAGGGCGCATCGACTTCGGCAGCAACGCGGCCAGGTCGCCCCCGTGCCGGGCGACATCCCCGAAAGCAGCCACGTTGTGTCGGGCGTTGAGCCGCAGGCCCCGCCACTCGTACACCTTTACAGATCACGCAGTCGCCACGTCAGCAGCTGTAATCTTCAAACAGGCTTCTAGAGAGGGTCTTGCTCACAGGACTTCTTGGGGCTTGCACGCTACGACTTGGATGTAGCAGAAGATCAAGCACCATTGTAGCAGAAAATAGAAGCAGGCCCGATTGATCGCATACAGAGTCTCACTCCCCTTTGGAAACGAACAGGAACATCGGAATCCTTACCGGCGATTTGGCGACTCTGTACTCCTCCTCGATGCCGCTCTCCGGGTCCATCTCGTCCGCCAGCCGCTGCATGTAGTCCATGAACGGCGGCACGTATGCTCGCTTCGCTCCTCGCAGTGCGGCCATGGGGTCTCCCCGCGTGCTGTTCCACACACGAGCCAGCACCTCGTTGCCCAGCGCCGTGCGCCGCACCGCTTTTCGCTTGCCCGGGGGACGCAGCGCGTCCTCCTTAGTGAGAGGGTCTTTTTCGATGGTGGGGCACGCCTGGAGTGCGCCCGGGGGAATGGGCGTGTTCGGCTTGGAGGGCTTGGTCATTGGGACCGGAGTGAACTTCCACAGCAGCTGCGCACAAGGAGGACGGGCAATGAGCGGTCCGTAGTTCCGAACATTAGCCCAAGTAGGCAGGTAAGCAATCAGTGCTCAGTTAGAGCCGGCACCGTCCAATTCGGCACACTTAACACTGGTTCCATACTAGCTCCGCAAAGGCGTCTACGAAGACAAGCCTTTCGTTTGATGAGTCCCCCCACAAAAGTCGTGTTGGCAGTGGTTCCTCACCCAGTTCTTCTCGCGCTCCAAGACATGTTCTACGTAATCTGCAAACTGCGCGCCATGGGGCGGCAAGCCGCGCAGCAGCTGCTTGCTGTGGGCCTCCAAGCTAGCAAGGCGCTCTGCTGCTGCTGCCGCCACGTCCGGGGGTGGTTTCGCAACCTTGCTGTTTCGCCGCTCAGCCTGGCAATAGAGCATATCGATCGAGCGTCCAAGGTTTCGACGACAAAGAAAGGATCAGAACATCAACGTCTCCAAACAGGACCCATTGCAGACATAGACCGAAGCTTGCAAGCAATCCAATTTGGCGCCTCACCCGCAGCCACTGAAGAACAAAGAGCGCCTGCAGAAGCAAGTGGCGCCGGAAGTTGGGGTCGCCCAGCTGCACAACAGACAGCGGAGAAAATCGTCAGGAGCCGTGCCTTACGCCTCGCACCCGCAAGCAAACTGACTTGCCTTGTTTTGGCGGCTCTAAAAATTCCTGGTGTCGTCAACCGAACAGGCACGATGCAATCAAACGGGTAGGCTCTTCAGCTGAACAGGGAGCCTGCATCGCATCGCCAGCAAAGGCCCGCGGAGCCCGTAGCAGCGAAGGGCCCCTTTACCTGCAGGCTGAGCAGCTTGGGGCTGGTTAGGTACGTGGTGTCATACTCCGCTTGTGCTGGGCCCCGGCCAGTGCCGCCCGCCGCATTATCGCTGAAGTAGGTCAACACCACCTGGATCCAACCATGCTAGAAAACCTGAGTCTGAGAGCACTCTCGACGGGGCAGATCTGCAGTGTAGGCATGCATAACGTTGTCGTCAGAAGCGGAGAAGGCGTACTCTACCTAGCTGCCTGAGGAGCTCCCAGAAGTGCATCGAAACTTGTAAACCTGGGGGTGGCTGGTGCTCACCTGCAGCGCGTCGAGGAACTTGGACAGGGTGGCGTTGGTGGCGAGCGGGGCGGGGTGGCGGAAGTGTTCCTACGGACCACGAGTAAGGGCCGGTAAGCAGAGCGCCAACTTAGACCACAATCCATGCGACGAGTAAGGCGTTTGTCCTGAGATGCATACACCAACGACGCCGAGGGACTAGGACTGCCACGTACCTGCAGGCTCCAGAAGGTCTGGTAGAAGGCCTTGTCGACTTTCGAGCCTGCATAAAACACGAGAGGATCATGAGCCCCAGCTCGTAAACAAATGAGATCAACATACTCTCCCACAACGAAAAGGAAAGCAGACGGTGCGTGCAGCGGAGATGCTATTGAGCGCGCTGAATTTGAATGCAGTTCTTGGGCTCACCGTCAGCAGGCATGTCGGCGTCCTGGCTGTAGCCCACCTCAGCGGCCGTGTTGAAGGTACCCAGGTGGTTGGACGCTGGACACAGACTTGAAGTCAGCTTACGCAGAATGTCGTCCATGAATGCTGTCTCGTGAAAGCACAATAGACATGCATGTCTCTAAAATTAGTAGAGGCTGCCAAAAATGGATGTCGACAGTGAGGTCAGCGCACAGAGGGCTGATCACTAAAAGCTGTCCCTTGAAAGGATGCACAGTAGACAGTCACGGCTACAGCTTGAAGTTGCTGCAATATAGATGCGGAGGAGAGCAATTCTTTGAGATGCCCAGCCGCCGTACCTGAGCGCTCTGAGAGGGACCAGATGGTGGCCATGAACATGAGGATGCGCCCGCTGAACACCGTGTCCTGGGTCTGCACCGCAGACGCACAGCCAGGTACGTGAAGAGTGCACACATCCCCACGGGCAGCACGAAGTGGCGCTAGACAGCTGGCATGACGGCAAGCATTCATGGTCCAGACAGGCGAGGCAGGCTCGATGTATGTGGTACTGGGGGTGCTAGCCCGCCTACCTTGGAGAGGCGCTTGAGCAGCTTCTTGAAAGTGCGCAGCAGGGCCAGGTTAGTCTTAGCCTGCAGGGATTAAGGGGTTGAATGAGATAAGGTTTAAGCGGTTTGAGCAGCGGCTCGAGCATCAGTGGCAGAAGTGACCTTGCAGATGGGGGTCGCACCAACGAAAGTTGGCAGCAGGGCCCACCTTGACAAGGTTATCCCGCTCCCTCTCAATATTGGAGAACACCTGCAGGGAAGTTTAAGTCAGAAAGTGGATGGAAGGCCTCACCGTGGCAGCCCAAGCTTCGGTTGACAATAGCTGCAAGCTCAGCAGTCTTCTAGACGCATGCGTCAGGGGCAGACTGCCACACCTCGCAGTTTTGTGACAAGCGCCCCCCTTGGCTTGATCTGCAATCTTCCAGGTGCGAGACCATCCGCTTATTCGAATCTCCAGTCTATTAGAAAGGTTGGGGCTTTAGCACGTTTATTCAGGTTTGAGCTTTGCCTGGCGCCCACCTGTTGGCACTCCGGCACAGTGACCATGTCCATGAGGTCCTCCAGCACCGCCAGCATGACGCCGGGGTCTACACGAGGCCTGGCACCAGGTGGGAACGAAACCGCCGAAACAACGTCTGCACAGGAGTAAGGCGTGTTTCCTCAGGCGCAACCTAGGTGAGCCAGAGACCTCTCTAACTAGCTACGATACAAAGGCCATGCGGCTCAGGTCTCTTCGAAGCGGTGCAGCAGCAGAGATTGCAGCAGGATCATTGAGCTTCTCGCTTCTTGCCAGCCCAAGGGCGCTTACCAAGAAACCGCTGGATCTTGGCCCCCTGCCAGGTCATCACAGGTTCCCCATCATGGCGCGCCTGTTCCTGCTTTAAGAATAGAAGCAATGATGTCAGGATCGGAGGGTAATAAGAAGATGGGCGATGAGAAGAATGCATCTCAGCATTAAAGATGATGCTCTTGCTGTTTATGTGAAGCATGAGGAAGGGATGACAGAGACATCAACCTTACCACGAGTGACAGCAGAGTGGTCCTGGCAAATATGTCCAGAATGTGGTCCCTCTTGGCGGCTTCTGAGCGGGACTCCTCGTCCTGCACCAATTAAACAACGCTTTACATCTTGCAAGAGATACACAGATTGGAGGGAGAGCAGTTGCTTGCTCCTTGGAGAACCTTCCGTTGGAGAATCTTCCTATCAAATCAACTGAAAAAAAGACGGTGCTGTATCAATGTGCGTCGATGTAAAGTCACTCACATCTTTGAGTGGTGCCTTGACATCCGCCATGTCAACCACCACTTGGGCTATGTCGGCAATGGGAGCCCCATCATTCAGGCGTACGAGCACGGACTCCTGGAAGGAGCAAGCAGAAGCAGAGGCACTGTCAATAGTCTTCAGCTTACTCAGTTGAGGTGTTGAATGCCATATGACATCCTCCGAAAGCGAGATGGTGAAGCACCTGCCCAGGCCATGCCACCTTGCAAACAAATGTACTTCAACGGGTTGCATTGGCAGGCTTTCCTTCTGTCCCACAGCAAGCAGTCACTCGGGATCACACAGCTTGTCGTAATTCAAGTGACCGCTTGATTAGGCAAGGCAACAAAGGAGTACCTGCAATCGTGCGGGAAGTTCTGCCTGCCGCTTTCTGTCTGCTCTCTCCCGATCCATTGTCTCCATGTTTGCAGAATCAATGTTCACCAGCACCACACCGCCACCTACTTTTAAGTTTTACTGGGTATGGCACTAGTCGATTCTACCTGTACATAGTAACACAATGTCTAATTCCAAATATTAGGTCAGCAAGCTGCTGACGTCACCTCCTTGACCGTGCCCGTCGACCCTGGGCGCCTTTTGCCACTAGAAATCCCGAAAAGAAAAAGCTGGAAATTAGGAAAGAAAGTTGGATCGGCTCGGAAAAACTGAGGCCGGTGTCGTGACTCGGTGTGCTTGAAACACGGAGCCTGGCACGAAGGTCCACTTCTAGTCTACAACCGTCGTTAAGCTTCTGGTTAAATCAGGAAAGTTCTAAAGTATAAGCGGGAAATGTATGGAGTATTCTAGTCAATTCTAAAGTGACGTCTTTTATATTTTTCCGGACCGTATGGTTAGTGACGTCAGAGACCTCTTACACAATCCCTTTTCCGACTTGGACCGTCTTGGTGTCAAGGAACCCTCTTGGTGTTTTTAATTTTCCCGTGAAGAGCCGGGACAGCATAGTAGGTACCATCAGAACTTAGATGAAGGGCAGGAAACACAGCGGCGCGGCTTGCACCACCCCCAAGTTTCCACTTCCAGTGCCACGGACATGAAGAGCTCGAGCTATCTAGAGACTAGAGAGCTACTACTGAGGCATGTGCTAATCCGGCCCCCTTCCTTGCTGGCGTCCGCTTGTGGAGGGCGTACGTATATATACGGACGCATTTGAGTTTAGCGACCAACAACCAGGGATACCGTCACCGTATACGGCTGTTTCTGTCGCCGCGATCCACACGTGCTAAATTTTAGCAGCGACGTTAAAGGTGCAATTACTGCGTTAAGGACGCCGCGACAGCCACGTAGGATCCAATGCCCTCTTTGAACGTGCCTCGAAGGGCGTGTAACGGAATGGTCCAAAGTTCAAACTTCAACGCACTGCCCAGGGTTTTCGCCTGGCCTCGAGTATACTCGTCGGAGCTTTCCGGATCGCTGTTCTATTTCAAGGTAGATCATGCACGTGCTTTAATGCGCATTGAGCATGCGTACAATCTTACTTCAATTCATCATTTTCAAGCTGACTTCATGTGATGCAGGACAGCATGACTTCTGCATAATGACCGGCAAGAAGCGTGCCAGCTAATTGAAGATGATTGGCACACGAAACCTGACGTCTACATCCGATAAGCTGAAACATGCGCGACATCCAAATCAGCATTGCTTAAAGCCCACCCAATCGGGTCTAGATACCAGCGTGACACGCATTTTGGGCCATGGCAAGGTCTGACGTTCTAAAGCATGGTTGCTGAGCACACGTTTAGTAGGAAACCACGAAACCAGTAAGATGAGTGGTGGGGCAATTTACCCGCACGGATACCTTAGAGAGTATGCCCAGTAGTGACGATACAATTGCAAGGTGTAAGAGCTATTCGGGCAACTTTGGAGGAGGTTTCCGGGCCAGGATGAACGCTAGTGGTCCACCTCGTGAGGACACAAAACGGCGGCTGTATGATCCAGCATGTCATTCAACCAGCTTGAGGCACTCAGACCTCCAATCTTACCCGACAAGCATCTTCTCGAGCAGTTCTCGCAAGCTACTATTCGTTCGTTCGATGATCTCCGACTTTGTGAGCCAAGCATGATCTCGTAATCTCTGATCTCCGAGCTTGACATCCCCCTCGAGAAGTTGGATTCGATAGTAGAAGAGCTGCAGGAACGAATCGATAGCCTTAAGAGCAATCTACAGCTAAAGACCACATGGATGGAAGTCGAAACAACCAACGTGATGCCACTGTCGTTGAATATCCGAGACGACTCGCAGCACGGCCAAGGTCACTGCCAGCCAAAATGTTTGCCAATACAGACTGGGATCTATATGCACTGCCCAAGCGGGCTATGAAAGCCATAAACTTAGGACCATTGGCCTTAAAACAACAGAAAAAGATGTGAATGTGCCCTGCAAGAGGAGGCCCGTGCACAGATGCAGATCATCAAGCTCACCTTAGCAAGCGGCGTTGCTGATGGAGTGGTGGTAGTAGGGGAGAAAACGGCATGCCCACACGGGGCGTTGCCTACGGTGTAGGTCTTCATGTCAGGACCTCTCAGCCCTCGCAGACTGCGCTCTGCACACTGCGGCCAAATAACAAGCAGCGCCGTCAGTCAGCTATAGTTGACTTCGGCTGCAAAGATAAGCTGGTGTGCAGCTCGCAGATTCCGTTGGGAAAGTCGAGACCTCCAGGGTCAATCAAATTGCACACCAGAAGAGACAAGAAAGCAGAGGTTAGTGTTGACTACACTCGAGACAAGCCACACGATTTCCAAGATGTCGTCCTGCAACCTGGATCACCGGACGCAAATAGCCACATCAGAGCCTAGCTTTCAAGTATCGTGTCATCAACAGATTGGTATCAGCATTTGTACACGAGCACTTGGCCCTGCTACAAGTGGCCGGGTGATGACGAGGCGTAGAAGCCCTCTTGAAGAGTGGACTTGCTTCCCCACGTCGGGCTAGGCGAAACAAGGCATCAAAATCCACGGACTGGCTGACGCTCGCAGCGAGCCAATAAAGAATCGTGCCTCGACCAAGTTGCGGAACCATCGGCTGCGCGGCTGGACACAAACTCCAGGACCGCGGCCCTTCCTCACCTTCCGCATGGTCTCTCCGTCTTGGTACCCAACAAGAGGGAAGTGCCAAACAGGTGACGGATCATCCGTCCACTCCTCTCGACCTTGAACCATGAGGTAGAGTCGCCGGTCAAGCGCTCGGTTGAGGGATCTGCCAACAGGAGACAGCCGGAATCGTGAATGAAAACGTTGTCAGGTGGTCACGGAAAGCGGCGGTTCTACTTTACAAAAACCTTTGGCTCCAATAAAACAAGTCGAGGTGATTCTGAAACACGAATAACGCAAGGCAGCGATTTTGGAGACTTAGAGGCCCAAGCCGCAAGTATTGGATGCAGAGTAAACAAGCAGAATGGAATGCAAAAAACCAACTCCACCTGAATCCTTACTTGACATTCCCAGTCTTGTCATCTTCAGTGATTCGGGGCGCTGGTTCAATGTCAACTTCGGCACCGCGAGCTCCTTCGCTAGATCTGGGACGGACAAAAGCTCGCCAAACATCAGCTCTCAGTTGGTTTCTAAGGGAAGGAGAAAGCATTCGCAACAAGCAGGTGCAGACAGCAGAAGCTGTGTTCTTTTGATATTAGCCGTTCAGGCAACTGATCCCCGCACCTTTGCACGCTCCCAATACCTGAGCAAGAGCAGGTCGCTTGTGCCACGTGCTATATCAGATAGAATCGTCTTTGACCCTGATCCTTCCGTAATAGCAGAAAGCAGCCTAAAACTTACTGGCCATCGAACCCTGCAAAGAATTCAGGGGGGTAGGCCCTCCGGAGCTTCTGATCTCGCTCAAACCTGCAAATAGGATGGGCATGTTTGTCTCAAACGAAATCCTTTAAGTTGTCTGGAGATAATTGCAACCGGAAAGCAGCTGTCACAGCATTGAACAGTAGAAGGCAAAGGACCATTACCAGAAATGCTGACGGCAAACAGCATTGCACCTCAAATGGAACCATCTGAGCGGTGGCAGCATGGAGTGCAGCTTATGACGTGTGACCGTGAGAAGCAAATCTCTGCCCAGCACATTGCAGGAAACAGGTCTTGATGAGCAGCACTCACTTTGCGTCCTCGTAGTCGCTCTGCCATTTGGGCGGATCAGGCACGATGATGGGCAACCTTTCCAAGAGGGCGACACCAAATAGTCGTTCTGCAGAAGTGGCGCCGGAGGTGGAAGGCCCGTTCGTGTCGGATGGTTCGGCGGCGAATGCACTCACATGGAATCGGGACGCCAACCAGCTGACCGCTGCTGTGCCCTCTACAGTGCTCCTCTGCAAAAGATTCCGACAACTGTAGCGGAGCATCATTGTCCACAGATTGAAGCCTGGCCCTTAACACACAACTTGAATAACAACGTTAATTAGCAGCAGCGCTCACCAAGCCCAAGTGCATGAGCGACACCACATGCTTCGGCGGGATTCAGAAGGGCTTGCCACATCAAAATGGTGGTGAGTTCACTGATAAGAAAACGACTGGCCCTGTCAGTGTTAAACTTGAAGAGAACAGCTGTTGGAACCACTCGAGAGCTTCATTCTGTGCCGCGCTTTGAACACCTTCAATCTCGAGAATCTCATGCTGCAACCCAGACTCACGGCCGTATCGAGAAAACCTCTCGTAAAGCCATCGGAAGCATATTGAACATATTGCTCGATACGGCCGGCCGGGTATCGATCAAATTGCTCGTTTTCTGGTAGCGCCTATTGGGAAAAAGTCTTGATTTTTGGAAAGCCCCGGGCACACACTAAAAGAAAAAGTACTTGCCCGGTTGTCACTCGCAGTGGTGTAACCCTAAGGCGGGAAGGCCCGGTTGCCCTATGGAGTTGCCCGGTTGTTCGCCGGTTGCCCGCGAGACCCTAATGTCACAGGGAGGGCCCGGTTGCTTCTCGGGTGCCACGGTCCCCAAACTACTAGTCTAGAGGTGGAAGGGTCCGGTGTCCCTGGGGAGTTGCAGCCGCCCGCCGCCCCGACCATCCACCCATAGGGGTACCGTCCTTTATGTACCGCGATCCAGGCGGTCGTGTGGACCGATGTTGTGGGTCGCGGCGGTCACCTGGTTCGACGGCGGAGATCGTCCGGACCGACCCCTGAAAGTACCGGAGATCTAGGCGCCTCGGTCCAAAAATCGAGCAAATCGCTCGATAGGGCATTCTCCGCATCGAGCAAATCCTCCAATACGGCCCCAGCGAAAACAATAAATTTGTCCAATACGGATCTACGGACATCGAACGATTTGCTCGTAAAACCAAAATGGCTTTACGAGGGGTTTTCTCAATACGGACCGTGAGTCTGGGTTGCATGCTGCAGGGGTTTGGTGTCCAGCCCGCGCGCGCATGCGCACCCTGCTTGTTGGCATCCAACGTGTGCGTTTGGGAGGGAGTGCCCTCCTGTCTGGCCCGGAACAATACTGTTGTTGTGGCGGCGGCCGGGGGGCTTCTGAGTTGACGGTTCTTTGACGGTCGTCTTGAAAAGGATGATCTTGATGGTCTCAGAAGCTTGACATAAATCACTCGATGTGATGGTTTTCTAGCCGTCCCGCCTGTTGTCCAGACCGGGGATGGACACCGGCTACCGCCAAGACAAGACACATGCTGGCATTCGATGACGATCGGAAGCTGCTAGGCGGAGGCGCCATGGCGCGTCGTGTACCTATCCTACAGATGGGCGGGGTCACTCGAGTGCCCATGCACTGAAGGTGCAATTGAAAGACGATGGTTTCCATCTTTCGAGGTGGTAGATCGTTGATGAACGCCATCAAGCCGATTTACTTAATGCCGCACACCTTCCGGCACCTTGACGGTTTCTGGCAAGAAGGCAACATGCAGTGCATGGAATCATTCAAGTCGTTGGGGCAGGACTGGGGTAGCACAGGAAGAAATGGTGTCAATTCTTGCAAGCAATGCAGGCAATAATGACCCAATCTATGGAGATGCTTGATGCCAACATGTCTTCGGACGCCTTGGCATCACTTGTTGCCCGGGCTGTTGCCTCGGTTGCAGGTGTCCAAGATATGATCACCGTTGCACTGACGAAGTTGATCAACAGCATTGCGTTTGAGCGTCCGGCACAGGAAGAATACACTGGTTGGGTTGCTTGCTGGCGCCGCTCTAGTTGGCGCGTCTCTGGGCAGCAGTATATGCTCCTGGGGTTGTGTCTAGCAGCCCTTGTACTTATTCTGTTAATTGGAGACCGGATACTGGCTGGGCTTCTTTCCATTGCCCTCAAAAGATATACTGGCACAATCAAGAAGGATCAAGTCAGGAGCTCAATATGGAGGGGTAAGTCGGCCACTGTGGTTGGTGTGAACTGATCAATTGCCTGATTGTGGGAAATTTGCGCATTTTACCTCAGCATCCTCTTCGTCCCAATGGCTTACAAACATCTGGAAAGCGGTGGATTGCCGTGACAGACAATTCAGGCTTATGGCTACCGCCTTCCTGCAAATGATTGTGATGCGAACCATACTGAGTGATTTTGGGCTAATTGTCATGTTTAGGTTACATCCTGGTGACCGACATGCACATATCGCCAAGGATCATGGACCAACTGGACCTGCCCATGCTAACGAAGCAAGGTAAATTGATCACTGACAATGTTGCTTCGTATTTTGCCCATCTCCTTTGGTCTCGATCAACTGAACAAATCAGATCTCAGGACAATTTGATGCTCTCCAGTCACGTTTTGTGCTCCTGTCATTGATGCTGTGGGCAGTGACAGTGGCACGGACTTGTAAGGATAACTTGCTCCCAGATCTGAGTTGTTAAATTTCTGCTGGCCTTGCGTTGGCAGCTTCGGTTGGCTCTTTCCGTATCGCTCTACACTGGAGAAGGTGCCGGTTGGACGTTGTTGGGATCGAGATCTCAGACGTCCGGCTCGAAGCCCATCCACGAGTCTTTCCCGAGGTGAGCATCTGCCAACTTCGAAGATGCATTTGTGGCGGTCCTGATGCTCTGTCCAATCGCAAGAAATGCCCCATTGGTTGCTCGTTCAGCTGCTATTTGTACTGGGCCATTTATGATTGTTTCCCTTGTTAGACTTCTGTCTTTCTTTAAGAGTCCTGTTGGACCGAAAACTTGCTGTTCTCATAGCCCCCGTTTGACACCTTGAACAGCTCCTGTGAGTGCCAAAAGAATGTTCAGAGGTTGCATCTGGCACAAACTGTTGTCCAGCAAGATACTCCTTCCCCGTTGAGATCTGCAGTGTTCACAGCTTAACCCAAGCAGCATGTTCGTCCTGCAGCCTGTCACCGCTGCGGACCTGGACGCTCGTCTCTTCAGAAAGAAGGAGCTCCTGAAGCTGGCGTACCTTGACGCCGTCGAGGCCGTCCTGTGGAAACAAGACTTACCAAGCCGAAAAGAAGGTACTTCCTGTCCTCAACGTCTCTAGCGCAATGGCTAAGATCATCAATACTCATGGTGGGACTTTGCCTCAGTCGCATTGCAATTGTCGCCTCTACTTTCGGGAGGATTACGTGGTTTTGTTTCGTTCCTCTTTTGAGAAGCAAGCCGCCACAGGAACAATGAACCTGCCATGTCTGGTGCAGGCGTTGTTGAGCACCTCCTATGGAGTGTTCTGCTCCCTGCTGCCCGCATCCTCCTAACCAAGCTCGAACTATCCGTTGAAAGGGTCTCAGCGTCCTACCAGAACGACAGCAAAGTCGGGGTACGTCTCACGCCCTATCTTCAATAAAGTTGGTTCAATGGTGTCGTTGAAAAGTCCGATCAGCGCTGGTAGCCGACCAAAATGTCAAGCCGGATTCCCTGCCTTCCCTTGCTGCGAATCCCTGCCTCGATTTTCTTTCTCTCATTGACAGTTACTGAAGGCGTCTCCATCGTCTCGTTCTTTAATTGGGTTCCACTTGAAGTCGAAAGGGCAGTTCCTGACGATGTCCTCTTGTGTGTCAGGATCCACATGCGGAGCTGCACTTCTCTGTCGACTCTCTGAGGATGGTTGAAGCTAAGACCGGGGAGGAAGTCCCCAATTGCAGGAAGCTGGTCAAGAAGGTGAGTGGCTGCCACCCTGGCGAGGGGCGATAGTTGACCATTTGATTGATTATCGTAGCATCAAACAGAATGCAACTGCATGCCTTCAGCATTGTCTCGGGACTTCAGAAGCGTCGTTCCAGGGAGGCGTTTAGAATGCAGATCAGGTATTTTCCCTATGCTGGCAGCATTACGCGCCAGCACATGAGAGCCAGAGTCGCGAGCTAATGTAATCTGTTTCCGATGCAGGAGATTCGGATTCGAGGCGTCTCGCTGGACGTGAAGCACGATTGCGAAGACCCTCCGTGCTTGTTGGTAAGGAAGACGGGACAGAATCTGAAATTGTTCCAGCTTCGTTGCTCAGTCACAACTGCTGCAGCACTTCAACATTTCGATATGCTTTTGTTTCAAGTTCGTGATGAAGGCTCAAGCTTCTTCTCTTCTTGCCCAGATGGACGAGTCATCGAGGCGCACTGTGTCAGTGCTGAGGAGGTGGAGCGCTTCAGCAGAAGTAAGCTGGCTGTCGAGACTACGTGTATGCGCAGACCTCACGGCACACATCTTGTCGCAGATACGCTGAAATCCTCGTCGGGGTACCAAATTCATGTCCGCCAAGACTTGGATCTAAGCGAATGTATGTGGTGCGAAGAAGTGTTTGTTCACCGGCTGTTGTCTGTTCGAACAGCCTGCTTTAGAAGCCTCCGAACGAGAGTTTTGGGAGAAGGGAGGCAGTAATATCTCTGTTAATTGATTTGCCCCGCTCGCTAGCATCCTCACTTCCCGCATCGCTCCCCTGCTTCCACCAACTCACTCTTCTCCTTCGTCCCCCAGATCTTCTGCGGCCACACGCCCAGCCGGCAGCAAGTGTGGCAAACGACGATAACTGCGGGCGCGCTCATCGCGAGCGTGGACGAGCTCGTCCAAAAGGCGCTTACTGCCTCCGTGAGCAGCATCACCGAGTTTCTCAAATACCAGGAGTTTCGGGGACCCCGCCCGCAGGCCACCGTGCGGGCGGCGCCGATGCTGTGGTGGCAGCACGCAGGGGCCGCGGTGCTGCGCGAGTTCAAGAAGCTGTCAGTGGGGTCGACCGTGCTGCCGCCGCGGCTGGAGGAGCGGCGTGCCATGCGACGACGCTACGTGGAGCTGTACACCGAGATACACAAAGCGGGGGGGCTCTCCAAGATAAAAAAGAGCCTCAGGTGAGGGCTTCGCAAGGCTTTCCTTCCATAGATTGCGGCGTCTTGATGCTTGTAGCTGTATAAGGTGCTGTACCTCGCCCTTTGTGACAGGCTCTCCCTTCAACGCCCTTTCATGTTCTGTACGTGAACTGTGGATCTTTGGCTCAATGGGAGAACTGCTCAACAGTGGCCTTCCGACCTACATACGATGCTCTTAGAGGCGTAAAACCATGCAGTCTGCAATCTCAGACTTACGCGAAACCCCGACAAAGAAACGTGATATGAAAGTCGCGAGCGCTTCAATCCACGAGAAGGGCGATCTCCGACTGCATATGACCTCCGGCACGGGATCAGACGCTGGCTCTCCTTTGCGTCTCAGGGAGCAGCTGGCGGCGCTGCGCCACCTGGAGGCGCGCCTTGGCCCCGAGGAGATTGCGCAGTTCCGGTGGTGGGCGTGCGCGCGCCTGCGCCGCGGCGAGGCCCGCTCCCGCTGGTTCCGCAAGCAGGAGGACCCCAGCGAGTCGCTGCGGCTGCAGATGCAGGAGATTGACGCGATCCTGAGCGGCGCCCGGGGCATTCAGCGCCGCGGCAAGGCGCGCTACCGAGTGGTGGGGCTCGCGATCCACTGCCCCAAAGTGAGCCTGTTGCTGTCATCCGGGAAGGACAAGGACTGGGGCGGGGAGATGTCGTTTCTCCAGATCGGGGCGCGCGGAGAGCGGCGGCAGGGGGCGGTGCTGCTCGAAGGCACGTGCCGCGCGATGCACCTGCGGGACTTTCAAACTGCGCGGGCTTTCCGCTCGGTGGAGCTGCTACGGAGCCCCGCGGGGCTCGAGGCGGCGACCAAGATTGATTGTTTAACCGTCAAGATCACCAAGCCGTCCAGCAAGCAGGAAGCGGCGGGGCAACGACTCTCCTGCACTGTCCGCTTGGCACCCATCGACTTGATTCAGGAGCATGGCTGGCTTGCACGTCTCGGGCGGTTCTTCCGACAGGCGGTTCCCATTAAGCGAGGGGTAGAGAGCCCGGACCGCGGCCCGGGGCAGCAACCCGAGCACATGTCGCGGCAGCAGCTGCAGTACTTCCAGGAGCAGCAGAGCCCGGCGAGGGGGAACGCGGCGACGCGGTACAAGGCGTCGCTGGCGGACGAAGTGAGCGACTGCGCAGCGAAAATTCTGGCGCGGCGGGCGCGGCGCACGACGCGGCTGCCGCACCTGGACTTCACCATGGGGGACGTCAGGATCATCGTGCCGTGCCACGAGAACGAGGGCGTGTTTGCGGAGGTGGAAGAAGTGCTTGAGAGCCCGTCAAAACGGAAGCCCGCGGAGCACGCGTGCGAGGTTGAGGCGCACTCGCACGGGACGCGGCACCGGCACTCGCTGGTCGTCATCATGAGCGGGCTGCACGTGCACTCGGACGAGTACCGGCAGGACCTGTCCAAGCGCAGGTGGGCAACATACTCTTTTTACGACAGAGCTGACGTGCAGCAGAGGAAGGTGCTTGCACAATGGACTCAAACCGGTGGGCGTCTACTGATATGTTCTGCGATCTCTCTTTGCGGTCGTATATGCTCCTGGCAAGCGGAAGGGACGGCGATGGCAGCCAGATTGTCAAAATCGGTGCGGGTCTCAACGGTTCGAGGTCATTCGTAGAGCAACAGAAAACTAGAGCTTACGTGTGGTGGAACCCGTTTCAGTGATGCTTAGCCCAGAGCTGACCCTGGCTTTGCGCTGGCGGTGCAGCCCGCTGCAGGAGCTGCCCGTGAGCAAGAAGGCGGCGTCGGAGGACGAGCTGTGGATGCGGTCCCACCACGACAGCCTGCTCGCGCCGCTGCGCTTCGACATCAGCAAGGCGGCGCTCACGCTTGAGCTCTTCCTGGCGCGGGTCGGCAAGGGGGCCCACAACGACTACAAAGACAGGTGCGAGGCAAAACCCCTCCAAAGAAAAAGGCTTTTTGACAAAGCTGGAGTACAAGCCGTGTGACTCTCGCAGCGTCGTATTGGGTGTTTGTGGTTTCTGGTCATATTCTGATCTGTACGAAGAGGGCGTAACCTCTGCTGTTTATCCCGGGGGGCTTGATGTGGCCTAGATCTTCAAAGCTGAAGCGCAAGTGCGCAGCCTCAGAAGTCATGGAAGCAGTGAAGTCGAGGGGCTTATGTTTCCTTGTGCGTGCAGGGTGCCCCTCATCCGCCGCGTTCACCTGCGCCTCTCCCACGCCCTCTGCCGGCAGCCCGTCTCAAAGATAGCCACCAAGGTGCGAATTTCTTGCTTTCCTCAAAATGAGAACGATGCTCTGAGCGTCGACATTGAGCATGATCTGCAGACGGGTTTGCTTGAAGAAGACGTGACTTCCGAATTGCGTCGTAGCATAAAATGGTTTGTATTTCGGCCAGGATGCTCACTTGATACGCTGTTCGGTGCTTCTTGCAGCTGGTTCGCATGTCCGTCGACGTCTCCAAAGTGGAGCTGATCCTGTCGCCCTTCGCCTTTGGCGAGCTCGCCCACCTGGCCTCCGTGTAAGCAGCACAATCGATCTTTGTCTCAAATGCTGTTAAACGACTTGCTTCCTTCTTGGGCCGGAGCGCATTCCGCTGCGTTTTGCTGTGTCTTCAAGATCGTCTGGCAACGGTTACATCTGGATCCCAACCCATGTGAAGCACCAGTAGGCTGGCGCGATGAGAAGCGGATATAGGACCAAAGCTGGGGTCTTTGGCGCTTATATAACGTGCACAGCTGACACCTGAGCAACAGATGTCGTTCAAGACCCTGCGTTCTCTTTGCTGCAGAGTCCACCGGTCGGAAGCAGAGGCCACGTACATCATGGAGGGCCCTCTGACGCCACAGGAAACGGGCCCGCCGCCGGAACAAACGAAAGGCGGCAAGGGACCAGTCATCATGATACAAGCAAAGGTCAGCGGGTCCCTTTCGGTTTTTCCTCTTGAATTCCTCCTTCCTCTCAAGCGGTTCGCAGGCTCGCTCGCCGATCCACGCGTTACTCTCCGGAAGTTTCTGCTTTCTCATTGGAGTGGGACCCCAAAACCACTGTCAGAATGTACACGAAGCTTCTGCACAAAACGTCTTGCAAACGTCAGTTAAGGTTCAAAGGCACAACCAGCAGCTTCGGATCCCCTGATCTCAAAGGCAATGAAGAAGAAGGAGGATCTCATTGTCTGCCGCCGGTTTCTGCCTCCAGATCCCGCTCTTCTCCTTGGACGCGGTGCGCTTTCTGGAGTTCGACCCGTCGGGCCAGGCCGGGCCGTACGGCACGTGCCCGGAGTCGCTCAACTGGCTGAGCGAGGACCAGGCCGTCTTCCGGGCCGCCATGCACAACATCGACGTGCGCTTCGACCGCTGGCCCAGAAAGGTGCGCGCGCACCTTGTGTCCCTTCCTGCACTCAGAAGCTTTGGCCGCCATGGCAAGAAAGGAGAGATTAATAAGGCGCTTCGTGCGCAACCTTTGTCCTAGCCTGCACGGCAAAGATTTGTGTTGAGGAGCATATGTTTGCTTGAGCTTGCCTACTCAGCGTTCTTGGACACTTGAGGCCTCGGCAAAGAGCGTATGATGCCACCTGCTAGCTAGCCACGACGTTTGACTTGTGCAGCTGTCTTACTTGTTCCATTTTTTTTGTGCAGCGAGCGATCTGCGTGTCGCTCGGCAACCTGGTGGTGGAGAACCTGACCGAGAGAGACAAGGTGAGACAGCCGCGCACACCTTGCTGGCGCCCATCTTTTGTCGCCTTTTCCGCTTGCATTGGAGACAAGCTGTGCATACGCGCTGACTTGTGGAGATGTTGACTGGAATGACAGGCCCGAGGAGTATCTCTTGCGAAAAGTCATAATTCCGGAGTAACAGATCCTTTATAGTGTTATTCTCAGCGGCCTGAACATGTTGCTGCTGATGTGTGTGCAGCCGGACTCGACGTACCGCTACTTCCTGCCGCCCCTCAAGCAGAGCTTCATGAGCCACTTCACCAGCTCCTATGTGGGGCCGGTACGCTACTAGGCCACACTTTCTCTCGATTTTAGAGTTCCCCCGGCGCCCTGTCTGCTGCACTGCTTTGCGCGGAAGCTGCTGCTTCATCCTTCAGAAACCCAAATGGTCACCTGTGTGGGGTCTTTCGAAAGTGATGTTGCCGTGCTGACTGCCTTTTTGGTTGCAGGCGTTTCAGCGGTGGCGCCTGTACATGAAGCAGAGCCGCAACCTGGCCGACGACGTGCCCAAGGCCGAACTAGAGCGAGCGCTCCGACGGTCCAAAGCACAGGTCAGCATGGAGCTGCACATCAACCTGTCTCATTGCTTAAGGCTCAAGAAGTGTGGCCGCCTTTTGATATGCTGGGAAAGGCGACACTGACCATCGATTGTGACCGCTGAGAGCCAATCATAGATCAAGGCAACGGTGTCGTCCCTTTCCAGTTGGGAAGGTTGGGGGTCGACGAGGAAACCGTTTTAGTGACGCCATTGACATGTATTGCAGATGAACCTTCGCATCCAGAAGCTTGGCAGCCTGACCGACATCGACGTCGATGTCGCCTTCTTACCTGTCTGCTGGTGAGCAATACTCACGTTCGTGTGGGATGCTATTAAACAAATTCCTCTTCGTCTTGCCGTGGTGGGTACATTCTCTGAGCATTCTGATGTTATATTCCAAGGTGGGCTGACCGATGCTCAACCGAGGAGGTTTCTCAGCAGTCCCGAAGCTGTAATTGAAAATGAACGTTTTCTGTGAACCCGATCTGTTCGACGTTTTTGTGCAGTAACCTGGAGGGCATGCACGACCTCGCCCAGTTCATCACCCACGCCCTGGAAGCCATCCGCGTCGCGTGGGACCTCCACAGCCCCCCAAAAGCACCTCCCCCGCCCGGCGCGCCTGCTTCGCCGCGACCGCTCACGGCCCACTCCCGGAAGTCCTCCCGCGAGCGTCTCGTCAGACTACACTCGCTCAAACTTGCTGAGGCGGAAGACGCGCTCTTCACGGACCCGATGCAACGGATGGGCTCCCTTGAGCGGAGACCGCTAGAGACGCCCCGGGGGAGTGGCAGTGGGAACCTTTTGGTGCGGCGCATGTCGCGGCCGATGCCGAAGCTGCCCGCGCCGGTGGCGGCGCTCGAGAAGGAGACGCGGAACGTTTTGGGGGGGGGAAGTCGTCCGAGCGTGGACCCCCACGGCAGGGACGATACGCCGACAGCGTTGAGGCATCCTGCACGGTTCAGCGGCCCGCTCCCCGGTTCTTTCAACCGGGCGTTCTCGGAGAAGGGCAAGGCCGCGGGCCCGCGCGTGGTGCGCTGGGAGGAGGAGGAAACAGACCGCGATGTGGATATGACTCCGCAGCCGGTGCGAACCACGTCGTTTCCTGGAGACGTAGACGACTTGCCGGAGGAGCATCACGGGTCGCATCCCCATGAGGGCGCCCACAGGGGGACTCGCTGGGAGGAGCACAAACCGCACCGAGGGGCACATTCCGGGACGGGCGAGGAAGAGGAGGAGAGGACGCTGCAAGTGCGCGTGCGAGTGACGTGCGTCAGGCTGACGATTGCCATCGCGCGGGAGACGTTTACGTCGCTCGTGGTGCAGGACGTCATGGTGAGGCAGTGGCGACGTCGGCTGCCCGTTTACCAGTGCGCTGAGCAGGTTTTTGATAAGTGACATCCGTGTCTTTGACGTTCCACGTTTTTAAGACAAACCTGCAGGCTCTAGAACTGACGGTGCGAGTGCCATTCGCGCAGTGCTCCTTGTCGCATGGCGACTCGACGGACCTGGTCCTCCACGTTGACGATCTGCAACTACTGGATCTCAAGGCAGCTTCAAAGTGAGCCTACACAACACTGAGCAATCTGCTGCGCTACTGATGTTGCAAAATGCATTCCGCCCAATGCTCAATATGATATTGGCGTCCGCATACTCGGGCTCGGAAGAGGTCTCTTGGGTCGAGAAGGAAGGAACCAAATTGATTCACTCAGCGAGTTGTGCTGGGGTGTGAGTTATGCACACTGAAGCCGCCGCCTTAATAGGCACCAGAAAGGTGTTAGGTTTTCCTTCCGGACTCACCGGCGTTGGCTGGTTGCCTGCAGCCGCTACCGTTACGTCATTCGGCCCAGTGGTCAGGGCGAGCACTGCGTCTGTTTGGAGCTGTCAAGCAGACCCCGGCTCGACGACACCCCCGCCCAGGTGGGGCGTTTTTCCTGTTGTCTGTATCGCATTCGAAGATGCAAAATGTGGGGGCAAGCTCGCTTTGAACCGGTATCGCCCAATGGTCTTGGGTGCCCAGCTTACGTCCTCAAGACAGAAAGCTTGAGCTGTGAGCAGGGCTGGTGTGAGATGGCTACTCTGAAGAGCTCCTCAGGGCAGCGGTCGCTGTGCAGGGCGCGCTTAAAACGGGGAGTGTGACCGTGTTGCTCTTCCAAATGATTCTCGGGTCGCTTGCACAGCTTGCGATGACTAGACCCGCTGCTTTCTTTGCAGACGCTGGTGTGGTTGGATTGCCACCACTTGCGGGCGACCGTGCTGGTGCGTTACATTAAGGACGTGCTGCAGTGCATCGCAAAAACCAGGGAGGTCGCAAAAGTGAGCGCCCAACGCATTTTCTTCTTACTGCCGGAGGCCTCCTTGAGGACTGATCAACCTTTTGCTCTTTGCATCCCCGAAATGGGCTTCACAGGAGACCAACTAGACGTCGTGATCTCATGCATTACACCTGTAAGCGGCGCCTGATCGTATGTTGGATGAAAGCTGGACTTTGCTTGGACTACCTGCTGATTGCAAAAGGCTTGTCGTTTCCAAGTACGGACCTTACAGACGGCGCATTGTCGTTACTTTCAGGAGTGCACGCTGTTGGCCTTTTTAATGTCCGAGGACAGTTCTGCTTCCTCTCCAAAGGAGGCTGCCGCGCCATCCCCTCCTGTGTTCCTTCTTATCACTGCCTGCGACTTTTACGCGGAAATGCCCAGGTAAGCGCATTTGTTGCCCAAAAATGCAGTCGTACCCCGTCCGACCCGCCTGCGTCCTTGCGCCAAACCCATAGAAATTAAAAAGTGCAGTTGAAAGAATTGGTGGATGCGGAGGTTATGTTGCACGTCATTTCTGATGCAAGAGAGGATCAAAGTGGTCCACTCCACGGTATGAGAAACAGGGCTTCGCTGAGCCTCCGAGACCGAATGCCAGGAACAAGTAAGGTGCTATCACGTGCGAAGGGACCACGCTCTCGCAGGCACTCGTGGTCGGAGGACATGTACATATTGCACGCCAAGAAGGTGACAGCCATGCTGCCCACATCCGCTGACCAGGATGCCGCTCTCAAGGTCTGCCTCGGGTAAGCACATGAATATCCAGTTAAGCAGAAAAAGCTTCAGCAATACTAAGCTAACCAGCCTTTGACGGGTAGGATTACTTTGGCGGTTACTTTCGTGTGGTTACGGGTTGGAGCAGGTGATTTTGTGGGTTAGGTTTGTAGGTTAGTAGAGGAGCTTGTTATTGCTCGAGCTCACTTCTGGTGAACTGTAGAGACATGCTAAGCACGGCCCCGTTGACGCTTATCACCTGCGGCTCAGAGAAGCCGCTGATCTGCCCTCCTGAAGTGCATGTTGGCAGATTCTTTCCACTACCTTCAATCCCAATGATGCGCTGGCTTGAAATCCCGACGTCCGGTCGCTGCAGCGCTGCCAAGTGTCACCTGGGCGCGGACTGGGCGGACGACCCGTTGTGGGAGAACTTTGAGGGCGCTCCGGCCGCGCAGGGCACCATAGCCGCCCACCTGACGGAAGCCATGGTCTACTGGCGTCGAGAAACGGCAAGGACGCCCCACTCACAGTCGGAGCCTCGTAGCTGCAACTTATTCAGCCACGGTGTTGTTCTTGCGTCAAACTCTTGCGTACGTCTGACGCCGTCATCAAACATACCGAAAGGCTGATCTTGTAGATCATTGTGGGGACATCTGGGGCTGCATCCTAATGATGCTTTGTGCAGATGTTTGCTGCAAAGGCGAACGTTCCGCTGCTGCTGAATGAAACTACCTCCGTTGCTTGTGCAGCCGGACGGCGAAGTTTGCGAGAGACGAGTGGTGGGAAGCGCAGAGATCTCTGCAGTCATCCAGGTGAGGGATTGCTTCAGCCAGTGTTGTCGCAGGCGTACGCGGGCTCCAGACCCGTGTTTGAGCAAGCCGTTGAGTTGCGGCGCAGGCGGCGTTCAGGCCGCCCCGAGCCTTACACCCATTCAGATCGAGCCACGCCTCAAAGGCTCTGCTTCAGGTCTTTGGGCTGACCTGGTACAGAACCAACAAAATACTTGGAGCATGTTCCGTTTGACGGTCTGATTCGTCCTCACTTAGAGAGCGGCGTTTCCGGCCAGCAGTTCGATGCTGGCCAGGCGCTCGAAAAACCGCTTCCGCTTTAAGATTTGAAACCCATTGCGCAGCATGCCGAGACGCCGCCTGAAAGTTGCCTCTGAAAAGCTGATGGACTTTCACGCGGATCAAATTGCAGGCGGTCCCTTTCCGGCTGCGCGTGAAGTGGCCGGATGTCCACGTGGTGTTTGGCGACATCCAGTACAGCCTGCTCATGGGCATCATCTTCGAGAACAGCAGCGAGCCGTCCACCTTCCAAGGCAAGCACGCATGCTAAGCTACTGCTTACCTTTCTAAGAATAGTAGTGCACGATGGCCGCAGGAGCCCCGAACGGCAACCCATCAGGAGCCTTGTAAAAGACTGAGGGTGTCATTGAGACGTGTTTGGCGCACCGCACCATTGCAAAGATCAACCGTTCCCTGTTTCTCAGTTCCGGTTATTCGTTTTCACACTCGCTTATGCCCGCGCCCTTAATGACTCCAAAGTGGTTGCTTAAATCAAGCCAGAGGACAGGCCCGTTCCAGGCCTGAGTTTAAATCATCCTTCCCCTCTGGGCGCAGACATGTCGCGGGAGCCGTCGTTGGTGGGCCAGCCGTCCGGCCGCTTCCTGCGGGACGCGCAGCAGGACCTGGAGCCGCCCCCGGAAGTGCCCGCCACGTGGGAGCTCCTCTTCGAGCTGGGCCACGCTGCGGTCGTCATCGAAAGGACGCCCGAGCCAATCCACCAGGGGTGAGCGCGCGCTCCTTGTAGTACTTCCAGTCCACTTTACTCGTTATTGCCTGTTGTGCGCTGTTGAAAGAAAAGACTGCTCCCTGAGGCGTACTTCTGGTTGCAGAGTGTTTCGTCTGTACGCTAGTGCACAGATCATAGCGTGTGGGCGTGAGTCCCAACCTGCCTAGAGAAGCTGAACATGTCGGCCTTTGTACAGCTAGTCAAATGACAGCGGTTCAAAGCGCAAAGTCTTCCACAAGCCGGCATTAGTAACTTGTTTATGTCGTTATCATTAGACCCATTAGACGTTCAGCGGATTTGCATGGCCAAATGCTGAAAGTGCGATTGTCTGCAGGTTCGCGGACCCGCTGGCGATTGTCACCTTGACTTCGTGCGCAGTTGTCATCTCTGAATTTTTTCCGCCCACCAAGTCTGAGGTGAGATACCAACGATGCTGATTGTTATGGCATGCACACTCGCACCTCTCCTGTTTTGCGTCCCTCATTTGACGCCAGCAACATTGAGCAACGGTTATGCTTTACAATATGAGTTGCAACCTCCTAGACCTGACAGCAGAACTGGTTTGCTGTCCATACCTTGAGCGCCCAACACTTGAGTTGCTGCCCCTCATGGTGTACTGACAACTGCCCTCTTCTCGGTGGCTCCAGTTCCTGCAGATTGTGGTCAAGTCGGCGGGCCTGCGCATCACTGACGAGAGGTTCAAGCGCTTCAGCGCAACTGACGTAAGCATCTCTTCTCATTCTATTTCCTGCTTCCTGTGCTGATCAGAGCAATAGCCCGAGATCACTAGAAGCCATTAATGTTTTCTGAGCATGGGATCATTTGTAGTGCTAGCCTCGTTCCAGCAGCAATCACTTGCGTTGCTGCCCGTCCGCTATTCGCGTCAGTCCACTAACCTTCCCACCTGCGCCGCTTCCCTGCAGATCGTCCTTGTCGAGTGCCCCAACAACCGCTTCCGCACCAAGGTCTGCGGTAACCAACCCCCGCGCGAGCCGCCCGGCGCCAGCGTGGATCACTTCATCTACAACTACACGATCAAGGCCAACGGCACGCACGCCATGGAGATCACGTTCCTGCAGGACGCGCAGATGTGGCCACACCTCAACGACTGCGGCTTCATACAGGGCATCATCGTGAGCAGTCACACGAGGTCCTGCAATGACTGATTTCGTGTAGGAGTCCCAATAAGAGAAACGGGGCGCTTGTGTGTGCTTGCTTCCGTCACAAACTACCTTTTCAGATTTGGAAGCGGTCTTACCTTGGAAGGCTGAAAATCGACGTCGATGCACCGATAGCCTGTTTGTCAATGCTGGTCTCTGGCTGAGAGCGCGAGAATCGTTTCGCAGGAGGTGTTCACGCGCTACTTCATGGCGCCCACGTGCGCCCTTGGCCCCCAGGATTTGCGCCCCGACGCGTGGTTCTATGTAAATGTCATATTCAAGGTAAGCAGCCAGCCGGTATTGATGGCAGTCAGCAAGACTTGAACCAGAGGTCTACTGGGCGGGCAAACACTCGGTGGCCCAATATCTTTTTCTGGCCCCAAGTGCAAAGATAGACATTATGTGTAGAGCAACGTTACCAAAGGCTCCGCTTTCTTGAAGTTAGATTCCGAGGCAGGCCATATGCCCTCGAGGAACTTGTCTCCAGTGGCAGGATTCAGTCACGAACTTAATAATCGGTTCCCCGCCTTCTCCATCATTGGCTCTCCCTCTGACGCAGGACCGCGAGACCTTCTTCCCGGTTCTGAACGGCCCCGTCGAGCCCCGTCCGCCACAGGAAGTTCTAGACGCTATCGCGGCCGAGAAGGCGCAATCCGCCGATGCTGTGCGCGAGTTTTTGCCGGGCTTTGGCGTGTGGACCGACGAACTAGACAACGTGCTGACGCAGCTGACGCAGCGGGGCATTCTGTTCATGGCGGACTACCTGCGGGTGGGCTACTTCTGGGGCGGCGACGGGGAGAAGAACGTCAAGCTGGACCTCATCAACGCGCAGGCGCACGTAGTCGACGAAGACCAGGTTAGGAAAGGGATGTTCACAGAACGAGGAAAACCGTGGAGTCGAACAACATCCCCAAGTCGAGACTCATTCTGCTCATCTTTGTGGATTGCCAGGGTTCGATTGGAGATTGGCAGTTGTAGCGACCAGATTCAGCGCTCGAATAAGGTCAAAAGATTGATCACATGACCCCCAAACAGATGAGCCGAGGCTTGCGCTTCCAGAACGTCTGCATATGTTTGCTGGCCGCCAATCCAAATTGCACCGCTTTTGACACGCGACGAGAGCCCTCTTTGAGGCTTTGCACCTGCTTTGGACAAAGCCGAGATTACCTTAGGCGCCAGTGCGATTTTAGTACAGAACCACGTCCCTGACGTCGCTCACAGCCCGAAAATAACCTCTGCGCAGGCGTTTGCCCAGAGCCTGTTCCTGGGTCCCACCACGGTGCGCGTGCGGTCGACGATCCGGTGCCCCAAGGCGCCCGTGGACCGCCGCCTGCTGGCGTCCACCGCAGTGGAGGTCCTGCGCGATGGCGATTTCCCCAAGAACAACGCCATCGCGCTGCATGCCGTTTACTCGGTACGCTCTCTCTCAGCAAGCTATGCGTACTGGACGATAGCTCTCGTCAAGTGTGAGCAAAGGGGGATGGTCCGCTTGTGTGCGGCACTTCTCGGCCGTCATTTCGTTCTCCTCATTCCGGTGATGTAAGCAACATCGTTTGTATTTTAGGTATGGGCGAAACTCACCGCTCTTGGCCATGCCCACCTGGTGCCGCTTCCCAGAGCGCTAAAATGGGGTCACAAGCTCACACCCACCCCGTTGTCTGGCGCAGCACGTGCCCCTGCTGACGGATGTGGCCAAGGTTCTGCGGCAACGGCTGTCCGAGCTGGGGTGTGAGTCAGCTACGGCCGAGCTTGCCGCGCTGGCCACCCCCTTTCTCCCCTCCGCTCATGACTTCAAGGTCACCATTGGAGACTTCCGAGCAGCCCTCTGCGATGACAGGTGAGCGGAAACGCATGTTGGCTGAGACGTGCAGCAACGGAAAGGGCGCTACCTTTGTATGCTTTCCCGAGAGGCGGCCTCCACTTCTTGCTGCTTACCTTTAAAGTCTATCTATCGTACTGGAGTTCATTCATCGTGGTGGGCACGGCGTAGTAATCACGGCTTTGGCAATGGCTGCACAAGCGCTTCTATCAGTATTGCCGAGTTCGCTCATTGGCGGATCCGGCCTGCTAACAAGCACGCGGACGCTGGTTTCCCCTCCTTACAAAGGTTTAAGAGTTGCTGTCTGGCTGCTTTTCGTCCAGGCTGGGCGCGGCTGCCAACGTGTTGTCGGTGCGGCTGGGGTCGGTGGACCTGTATTTGAAGCGGGAGCGCCTGCTGCGGGGTCGCGATGCCACGCAGCTCGGCCTGCTCAAGATGAACCTCGCAGTCGACTACCTCAACAGCGCAGTCGAGGTCAGTGGGCACGGGCAAACATTGCCAGGAAGTCAAGGAGTGGATGCTAGAGCTGAAGATTTTAGCGTTTTGCCCTTTTAAGCAGGTGGGCTGTTGAATCCCTTTGCCTGTATTTGACTCGTTCATGTCTGAACCCTTGAACGCCCGCCCGGGATACATTGCCTTCAAAAGAGTGAATTCTCCAATGTCTCGTTCTTCTGGTTTCGAAGAGATTTGTCACAACTCTTGGGTGTTAAACCATCGGATGCTCTCTCTAACTTCGCTGTTTCCTCTTTCTCAATGGCCAACATAGCCTGCTCAAGGCTTGAACATGTTGCATATGAAATGCAGACTAACATCCTCGGGAGCTAAGTGTTGGCGCAGCGTCACTGCGTGTCCTCTCTGACGTCACCCCCGTGCCTGTGCGCTCACAGGAGATGGAAGCGATTCTGGAGCCGTGGCCGGTGGTGGTGGACATGAAGGCGGCGGCGGGTGGCGCGCAGGTGGCGGTGTCGTCGAGCGAGGCCATGAGCTGCACGGTCAGCCCGGTGCAGCTGCTGTCGCTGGGCGACGCGCTGAGCTATGCAAAAGAGCTGCAGGCCAAGCTGGCGGGCTTCTGGGGGCCGCCGCGCGAGCCCCTCCAAGTCGTGAGTCAAACTGTTGCTAAGCGCAAAACGCTGCGTATGGAGCTCGAAAGTGCGATCTGCTTTGGTTTGAGGACCCAACAGGGGCGCGAGCGGCGAGGCAGTGGACCTCCTGCTGTCGGTTTGCAGAATCTGCTCAGGCGCTGATGCAACGGGCCTACTTTGAGGCCGCGCTCCCTCAAACTTTACCGAACTGCGACAAGTCTGTAGGGGCACCTCTTCCGGCCTAGAGTCTGTGCTTGAGGCCACGTGTGCGCTGGTGGATAACCTTCGACTGACTGGCTGGCTCCTATTGCGCAGCCTGGCATCTCTCGCCGCAGCTTGCGGCTGCAAGACTCGGTGGTCTCCCAGATCGGTTCCGAGTTCAGCGCTGTGCAGTCCCCGGATCAGAGCGGCCGCCAGGCGGGCTCGGGGAGAGACAAAGAACTTGACGGCTTTGATGCCAAGGTGAGCGCCACACCGCCGAAGCTTGATCCACTGAACCTTTGTGAGGAGAAAGCGCGGTGAGACCGGACTGGTCTAGATGTTGCCAACAACAAGTTGAATGCAGGGTGCCACTGTTATACATTTTGATTCCTGATCTTCATGTTTGAAACCGTCACTTTGGAGCGTAACTTGCCATCGTCCAGAGGCGATGGTCTGTGTTGACTTAACGAAAGCTTTTCACGGTCCCCTAATGCTAGTGCTCCCTCGCTCTTTTATGCAGCGTCTCCGGTCACAGACTATGCGCCCCCGGAAACTGTCTCGCAACAGCACCTCAGGACGCAGGGTAAGGGAAGCGCAACTCTGGCAGGCCATCTCTCGCCCGGTGTGCTGCTTCTACGCTAATTCTTTCTCCAAAGCATACTGCAATCGTGCACAACCAGCTTTTGCCTGTCCATGCCCTTCGGTTTGCATTAAGCAACGACTTGGATTCGTTCAATTGTCGAGTTGTGCGCAGCGAAGATGCCGTGGCCACGTTCCGTGCAGAGCTACCCGGTGCGGGCGGTGGCCCCCATCAAGGAGGACGAGCAAACACACTTGTCGCGATACCGGATCATCAACCAGACCGGCCTCGCCCTTTTCTACTGGGCAGGTGAGCGCAATTTCCGCACAGGCACAACGGCCGCTTTTCACTTTCTCGGCCGTATGCTAGAGGAGAGGGAAAAGATGACTGGACTAGGGCTCAACATCCCTTCTTCGAATTTGCCTGAGGTGAAACGTTTTATGGCACAAAGACCACTCACCTGCTCTTGCCGGACCCACAGTTTGACGCCCTCTCATTTATGCGAGATTTCTACTTCCCAATCGCATCTGGTTGACTTTTGGCTGAGGTTCTAGACACCGGATACGTTCTCTGTTCCATTGTCCGCGATCCCCTGCCTTTGCACACGATGTCCATGAATGGACCTTCTTTGATGTGTCCCTGCAGAGGAGGAGAGCGGCGAGCGGCGGTCGCACCAGGTGGCGCCGGGCGAGGACTTGCCGCTGGCGGTGGAGCCGGTGGAGAAGGTGGTGACGCTGCGCGACTCGCGCAAGGTCCGCGCGCGCACCATCTCCGTGCAGCTGCGCGGCAACTGGGCGCCCGTCAACGACGTCGTGGTCGACAAGGTGGGCGTCATACAGTCATATACTTCCGCGGGATTTGCCATAGAGCAAGAGGTACAGAACAACGGATCAGAACATTTGCTGGCGGCTGTGGGTGGTAAAGTGCGGCAAGTGCATCTTGGGGAACAAAGCTGCAAGCGTAGTGGCTCAGTGGTCCAGGAATGGGTATGCACGTCTCAAGAAGTCCTTGAGCGTCAGGGGCAACACTCTCTTACCTAGGCAGCACCTACGGTTTTGTTCGTTTGCAAAGGTAGGTTTCTGAAAGGTTTCGTTCGGCACGCACCCAGACTGCGCAAGCTGGCTGTTCTTGTCAGCTCAGAGTCGCGTTATTGGAATCAAATGGATGTTGCACACAAGGAGCACTCAAGGTCCGCTGGCCTCAAAGCGGTCACTAAAATTGCTCGTCCATAGTCGTCCTGAACGTTCTGAGCGTGGCCGTGCGGTGTGGTCAGGTGGGCAAGTCGGTGATGGAGCTGCGCGCGCCGTACGACGAGGCGAACGTGCCGCTGATTTTGGACGTGACGCTGGTGGACCGCACCAAGCTGCTCAGCGTGCACTCCACGCTGCAGCTCGTCAACGAGACCAGCCACCCGCTGCACCTCTGGCTGCACCTGCCCACCGTGCCCAGTCCAGCCAAGGAGCGCGCCATTGGTGAGGGGCGCGGCGCGTGGTGCTGGACTTTATGTCGACTGCTGACTTCAGCTTTTCGTGGATGCGGCCTAGTCGATGGCCAGCTTTGTTTGTCCGGTGTTGGTACGAGATCTTGTACCAAGCCAGGACCCTGTAAGGAAACTGCGCTAGAAGATAGCAAGCATGTAAGCATTGTCATTTTGGTACTTCTTCCCATGTTCTTCTAGCACAGCGGTTCGAGGCTTCTTCGGCTGTGTTCCAACCAGCTGTTATCGTTTTCAAGCGCATCTTTCACGTTCCTGAGCGTCGAGGTTCGTAACAGAGTCACGCTGGGCCAGATGAGCTCTTCAGCGCAGGAACGTTGAAGCATCTTTGCTTTGCGCCTGCAGGCCCTCTCCGGTCGGGCGACACCTGCTATCTGCCCATCACGGCAGCCCGAGGAGGCCAGCTGTACCTGCAAGCAGAGGTAGGCACCACTGCCGCCTCCCACGCCTCAATTTGATAGATGGAAAGAGATCGAGAGGTCGACTTGTGTTTCATACATTACAATTTTGTTGGCGATATACCCGGTCTTCCCGAACAGACACTTGTGATTGCACAATAATAGTCGCCGCATTGTGATGCAAGCGATAAGTGTAGCCCCTTCGAGTTCGTTCCGGACTAATATTTACTTGACACGAATGTCTTCAAAGTACGTTGCATGGCAGCGGCGGCAGAAGTCCCTGCGAGTATCAGTGGGATTTGCGTCAAACCTGATGCCGACCGTTGGCGGGCTCGCTCTGAATTACTGCATTTGTTTGCTTCGTCAGGTCCCAAATGTGGGCCTTCCGAAAGAGTAAAAGGAAACAATGCACCGGTGTTGATCAACGCAGGCTTTGACTTCGCATTTGCACCGCATCTACCTCGCTAACATCGGCTTTCGTGGCCAACGCCCACATTCTGACCATCCTTCTTGTGGGCGCAGGGTTACTTGCGCGCGGAGAAGGACGTGATCCAATTGAGCGCGGCGCACCTGGTGGAGCAGCAGGGCCTGCTGGCGTGCCCCTCGCTGGCGCCGTCGGGCGTGCCCTTCTACTGCTGCCTGCAAGTAAAGCCCGTGGAGGAGGCTGACCTCATCAGCGCCGGCGCGGTCCAGGAGTTCTGCCTCGTGTTCCGCCCGCCCCTAGTTCTCGAGAACGCGCTGCCGTACGAGATGGTGGCCACCGTGGTGGACGCGGACAGCGGGCTGGACGCGCAGTGCCGCATCCCGTCCGGGACGTCCGCGGACCTGTACAACATGACGCTCGAGCACAAGCTGGAGATGAGCGCCGCCGTCGCGGGCTTCCACACCGACCACAAGGTCCTCCTCCACCTCCCGCCCAAGTGAGGCCCCGGGGAGAAGTTCCGACTCGCATTTTCTTCCAAAGGTTGCACTTGCGGGCGGCCACAGGATTGCTGCTTCTAGAGTTGGAGGAGGTTCGCAACCCAGAATCTCATTAGGTTGCTTGAAAAATTGGAGTGTTTACGAGCTGGGGGGGGCACAAATTGAATGGGGCTTGGGCTGTTAGCAGGAGCGCAGTATGCTCTGTGCTTCCCTCTAAGGGCAGGTTTTGGCCTGTTGACATAAAAGTGCCCGGTTCTTCTAACTGGTGCGCTGTTGTTCGTTTCTCGTGTGCAGCCGCATGCTGGAGGACCACTTGGGCCCGCGCCCGTTCCTGCACGAGCTGCCGGGGCTGCGGCTGCCGCGCGAGATGGTGCTGCAACCGACGGGCGGCCTGCGTAAGCTGCGCCTGCAGATTGAGAATCGCGCCACCAGCCGCGCCCGCGCGCGCCGCGTGGTCATCTTCTCCAAGTATTGGATTATGAACCGCACCAACTTGCTGCTCTACTTTGCGGCGCGGAACCAGACCAAGGAGCCAACCGTGTGCTCCCCGCAGCGGGTGAGCGGCAATTGCATCGTTGCTGGAGACGTTTGGCAGGCTGGATCATCTACGACGCTCTCCAAAGTGGAAGTAACGCTCGTTTGTGTACTGTGCGTTCGAGTCTGTGTAGCTTTGGCCTGTTTGTGCAGACTTCAGTCCTGCGAGGTCCAGCAATTATGCGCAAAGCTGGAGGCCCGGTCCAACGGTCGCCCGCTTTGTGCAGTGGGCGACGCAGGTGCATTTCAATTTTGTTTACACTTTGGCCCACGTTGAATTGCATCAAAACCCCAGGCTCACACAAACAGAACCCCCAGACACCCGGAGTCAGATGCTCCCCTGTTGACCTAGAAACCTCAAACCAGCCCCACCCGTCTCCTGCCGAAAACCTCATTAAATGTAGCCATGATTTGACGTCTGATAGGTACGTGTGCTGTGCAGGACGACGACGACGAGCTTCGGCCGGTGCTGTACGGTTGCGGGGGCGGCAGCAAGAGCATCGTGAGCCTGCCGGGCACGCGCTGGTCCAAGAACATCCCCATCGACTCCGTCGGCATCATCGGGGCCGTGCAGGTCACCTCCGACCTCACCAAGACGCACCAAAAGGTGCGCGGACCAGCTCCCATAAAGAATTCTGTCTATACGGTTGGAGATCTGGGCCAGCACTCACTTTTCCACCCCAGTACTGCTGCAGACAGAGTTTCCCTTGGGATATTTAGTAGCCGCTCCTCTGCCCGTCTGGTAAGCCGATCGTGGATCTGTTTGAAGCGCATACGGAACGCGTGTCTGGAAGACCTTTCACCGATGCAGCGCTTAAGGATGCGGCCAAGATAAATCGTGGGTGCGTGCTGCGCGCGCAGGTGGCGATGCGGTATGAGCTGGGCGTGCAGATCAACCTGGCGCCGTCGCCGTGGTACCACCGCACCAAGATCATCACCATCACGCCGCGCTTCGTGCTCATGAACAAGAGCGGCATCGACATCCAGTACCGCCAGGTCGACACCGCCAGCATCCGGGTGAGCCACGTGGACGTTCAAGTCGGTTTGGTATGTTTATCTGTCCAGTATCCTGCAGTCACGACTGGTAGAGTTGAGCATTGTCTTGGTAGCATGGTCTCGGACAGGGGTCCAAACGGCAATCGCTTTAGAGTGTAAGTGTCCGGGAGCAACAGTTGGATCTCGTAGAATGCACTCCACTTCACTTTCAGCTGCAAGCGCCTGCCCTAAGTTCAAAAGCTACGCCCCTTTCTCCGTGTGCAGACACTCTGCGACGGCGTGCGCGAGGCGTATCACTGGGACCACGACGGGGCGGAGGACCGGTTGCAGATCCGGCCGCTGGACGGCGTCTGGGACTGGTCCGGCAGCTTCGAGATTGACAAGGCCGGCGAGTTCGGGATCAGGGTTCGCAATGCAGGAACACGTACGGGCTTCGCACGTCTCCGCTGGGAGTTCTGCTTTCTTTTGCTGCATGCTTTTTGGTCGACACGAACACGAGAGCCGTCTTGGCTTCCAGCAAGAGCGGAACATGATAGGTGAAGGGTCACGAAAAATGGACAAAGGTTCAGCCGTTGCTTGAAAGCTAATCTGAAAGCTTAGTCGCTGCACCCTCTCTCCTTCCGTGCCGACTGCGCTGCTCCCCGTTGAGAATCTCATGGCTCTCCCTCCTGGTGCAGGGGAGTACTCGATCTTCGTAATCGACGTTTCGCTCAACGGTGCGTCGGCACTGATCACGTTTGAGCTGTGCGACAACTCGGACCAGGCCAGTCAGCGCATTCCGTACCGCGTCGAGAACCGCTGTGCGCGCATGGCCTTCCAGATCAGCCAGAAGAACATCAACGCGTGGCAGCTGCTGGAGAGCAAGCAGGCCATCCCCTACGCTTGGGACCAGGTTAGCAGCACAGAGAGCCGAAGACGGGCAATCTATACCATCGAACTTTCAAATTTTGGTGTCGTGGCAAAGCTCGATCTGGGGCAGCAGGAAGGTCTTTGCTTGCCTGTCTTAGTTCTGGAATATGTAAAACTCCTGCAAGATGGTGTAGAGGTCACTTGTTCTGGTCCAGCTTACAAGCCGCTCTCTGATCAAGGTTGCGTAATCTATTACTTCCAGCCAGACAGCGCTTGACCGTTCCTTCCTATCCACTGCTCTGACCCGGTGCGTATTCGTACTGCGCAGCCCAAGGCGCCGAACCTGCTGGTGGTCCAGGTGTTGGGCACGGTGCCCCCCGTGGTGCGCGAGTACTCGCTGGACGACATTAAAGTGCGGCAGCCCATCGTGCTGCGGGGGCCCGCCAAGAGCGGGTCAGCCCAACTGCCGCCCCACTACACAGGAGACGCATGAAGCAAATGGTTTTCGCTTGCTCCGCTGTTGGAATAGCACTCGCAACCGGCTTTCCTTTTGCTTTTGCTTGCGTCCCTTCTGCTGCTGATTCTTCAGTCCAACGATGGTGCGTTTCGTCTTGCAACTTCTTGCGCCACGAGATTGCACTTTGTGAATCAAAGTCTTTCCAAAGACGAGATGCTGAAGGAAGCTTGCGCACTCCCTCACTCTCACGCAAATGACTCTTATTGCAGCTTCCTTGGCAACCGCGGCGGCAGCGACCAGTCGGACGAGTCGCTCGCTGAGAAGATCTACGTGAACGTGTATGCGGATGGGGCCACCCGTGTGTTGTCCTTCTCGGACGTGGAGAGCCAGTACTCCAAGTGAGCACGGCCGTAGGGCGCAGCCAGGGTATCCTCTTGATCTTTCATCAATGGCTTGGATCTAGAGCCAATATCTTGGGAACAAGGATTGTTTCCAGGAGAAGATGTTTCCTAGGCTCACCGCTTCCTTATTCTCTGAGCGTACATGTCAAGCTTCGATACGGGAAGCAGCCTCGAAGTCTGTGAGGCAGCACTTTGCTCCGTTCTACTTTCAGGCCTTCGTTCTGAATGTGGAAGCTCTTTGAAAATATCTTAAATCTTCTAGCTGTGCTTGCTTCGGGGAAAGCAAGGTTCAACACATCAGCCAGTGTAGCAAACCCCAGCGCGAACGCCTTATATCGTCCGATGCTAAGTGAAAGCCAATCCTAAGTGAATACCAAAGCCCTTAGTTTGAAGTCTGACCCGTTGGGGTACGCTTTCCAGAGAGACGGAGGAGGCGGAGCGGCAGCTGGTGGTCCGCCGGCTGCAGCACCTGGACGCCCGGCTGGCCTTGGTGCGCCGCCTGCTGGAGCAGCAGAAGGACGCCGCACAAGACGCGCTCGCCGACCCCGCGCTGCCCCTCCCCGTCAGGCACCAGGTGTGGAGCGCACAGTAGCGCATTCACATTGCACTACGATGTCTGTGCAAGTTACTGGATGTGCGCTTCTGGCAGGGGACATTGGCCTGACTCGGTGATCTTTTGAAGAACCCTAAGGAAGTGCCCTACGAACAGCGGTGATAAGTTGTCCGGCTATCAGTGTCGATTCCTCCGTTATTCACTGACAATCGACTGGTGGCTTGCCAGGAGCCCATCGACCCCACAACCGGCGAGCGTCCCCCCCTGGTCCAGTCTGCGACCTCCGGCGCGGACGGCACCCCCCCGGGCTCTCTCCTCCCGCAGTCCCCCACCGCTTCGGTGGAGATGCACCAGCGCAAGCTGGAGCAGCGGCGATCGTTTCTGGAGCGCGCCAGGCGCTTCTCTTGGGGGTCGCACAAGGACGCCCCGCACGCCCCGCCTGGGGCGGGCAGCGCGCTGAGCAGCCGACCTACCAGCCCCGATCTGTTTTTCTCGCCCACCGGGAACGATGGCGAGAGGCACATCTTCACGAGCCCGCTGGTGCCGATGCGGTCCGGGGGTCACCGCAGGAACCAGTCGCTGCCGCCCGAAGTGGAGGAAGCTCACATCGAGCGGCCGACCCTCGCAGAGACGAGGAGGTCGTTGAGTATCGAGAGCCGGCTGCAAGAAGCGGAGAGAGGCGGGGGGGGGCTGTCTGCTCGCGTATTCGATCCTGAAGACGGGCTGGGCCACAGGCACTGGATGGCAGCTGAACTAGAACGGGCGAGAGCAGCAGGGGCCGGCAGCCGGGACAGTGGTCCCAAAGTTGCCCGATTCGCGTCGGGGGGTCCGGGTTTCGAGGGAGCGCAAGAAGCGCCCGCGGCAGCCGACGAAGAGGCAGCATTGCGCAAGCCAGCTGATAGCGGGCCAACAGTGGCTCCGCTTAGACCGCGGCCGCTGTCTCCGCTCGCCAGGTCGGCGGCCGCGTCGAAAGCGGCGGCGGTGGAGGTGCTCGAGCGTCTGAAGCCGAAGGGTGGCCTCACGGAGGTGTCTGGAAGGGAGATGGAGCGACTCGCAGTGGAACGGCAGCTGCCAGCTTCAGCTACATTGGATGCTGGGTCGTCGGTCAACGGGGGGCATGGCTCTGGTGGCCAGCTGACGGAAGTGCCGTCGGTTTCACGTGATAGTGACGTCATCGCTCTGAGTGGGACGAGCAGCCGGCAGGAGGGGGCGAACGGACATGCGAAAAGTGCGGGGTCGGGGAAGGGCGTTCTGGCGGCAGCGATGGAACGGTTGAGGATGAGAAAAAGCAAGCGGCGGAAGGAAAAGGAGGAGTTCAGTCGGGATGCTGAGCTGGCACTGATGAACAGCGATGTGCGAAAAGCAGTGCAGACGGTTGGTGTGCAGCCAGCGGTCCATTCTGAAGTAGATGGGGCATGGTCGCCCGCATTGGCCGAGGCAGAGCTGAAGATGAGTCAGCCAGCAGGCGATCAAGCGGAAGGAGACGGCCAGCCTCGTCTGCAAGCATTCGGGTCGGAGATGATCCAGAACCCTCTGATGGGTCCTCTTAACGCGCAGAGTTTGCAATCTTTGTCAAGTGCGGACATCTTTGCCCGGGAGTCGAACAGAGTATTGGAAGCCGAGGAAAAAGGGCACGAGCCGGATGCCAGCTTGGCGGAGACGCTGTCTTCAGGCCTTGAACCAGCGACGCCGGAAAGGAATGGAAATGGACTCGCTTCTTCCTTGCAACGGGGAATGGGCGGCAACCGGTGGAGAAGCTCTGACGACACGGACGAGCAGTCGGAGGGCGGAGGCGAGCTGGTGCGTTGGGGCGAGAACGGGCTCTTCTCCAACGGGCACGCCACAAACGTTTCCGAATCGGACAGCGACGGCTCCTTCCTCGATGCCCGGGAGGATTTCCCGGCCGCGCGTGCGTCGTCGTCGCGCCGGCAAACCCGAATATCCCTAGACTCCGTCGAGGGCTTCCATAAGTTCGCCGCCGCCGCGATCGCGGCCGCTGCCGTCAGCAACGCGCTGGCCGCGACGCGAGGCGACCGCGCCGAGCAGTTTGTGCAGTCAGCGGCGGGGGCGGCGGCCGCGACATTCCTGGGGGGAACCGAGGTTGTGGGGGACACATTGGGCGCCGCGGTATCGCGCACCGTGTACGCCGCGCGCCGCGTCAATGTCAACCACCTGCCGGTCATGAGGAACCCCCACACGGTGTGGGGGCCGAGCGAGGTGGAGGAGTCGCCGGAAGTCGACCCCCGGACACAGCGCCGCAGCGGCGGGCCGGCCGAGGAAGAGGTGTACCGAGACAGTTTGGCGGCGCATGCGCGAAAGCTGAGCGCGGTGGAGGAGGGCGAGGTGCTTGGGGGCGACCTGGTGGTGCGGCTGGTGAGCGCGGAGGGTTTGGCGAGCAAGCGCGAGCACTGCAACCCGTACTGCGTGGTGGAGGTGGAGCTGCAGCGCAAGCGCAGCGCGGCGCGCAGCCGCACGACGCAGCCGCAGTGGAACGAGGAGCTGGCGTTCAAGGCCGTGCGCACGTCCGCGGACTTGCACGTCAGCGTCTTCAGCGCGGAGCGGGTCGGGCGGGACGTCTTCCTGGGGGAGGTGAGCGCGACCCGTGGGGACTCGTTTTCCTTTTCGTCAAAAGGTGCTGCGCTGGAAGACAGTTGCCAAGATAGAAGATTGCTCGGGACAGCTCGAGCAACTCAGCTAAAGAGGCTCGCTTTGCTATGGAAATCCTGCTCTTGCCCGCTTTTGATGACGCATGATTCTGGGATTGCCAAAGTGACAACGCAGTTGTCTGTTTCGGGCTCAATCGCATGCAGTAGCATGCAGCTGCGTGCTGCGCTTTCTTCATCCAAACCCTTTTTTCTCTCGCTGTTGGATGGCCTGGTATTTCCGTCCCTCTTGGTCCTTCTCGCGTAATCGACTCAACTTCCGTTTCTTCTTCTTCTGCAGAGAAGAAAGCTTCCTTGGCCAGGCGAGGCACGTAGATGTGAGAGAGCTCGCTGACCTCTGACACCCTTTGCCTCCCAGCTCTCTCTCCGCCCCACTCATACCCCCCGTTCTCCCTCCTCTCTGCCAGGTGTACCTCCCGCTGGTGTCCGGCGACACCCTGGACCGCGACCTGTCGTGGTACACGCTGGGCCGCCGCAACGCGCGCGACCGCGTCAGCGGCCGCATCCGGCTGGCCACGTCCTGGACCGCCACGCAGCTGGAGCTCATGACGCTGACCGTCGCCCAAAAAGAGCAAGAGCTCGCGCAGCTCGAGGAGCTGGTGGCCATCAACCGCGAGATGATGGACGACCGCGAGGGGGGGCCCCAGGCCCTTGTCATCCAGCCCCCCTTCCGGCCGCTCAAGCTGAAAATGCGCAAGATGCGGAGTTTGAAGAAGCCCGCGCTGGGCCCGTCGCGCACGGCGAAGAAGGAGGAGGTCGGCCAGCTGGCGGTGAAGGTGGTGGAGGCGCGCCACCTGTCCAGCGTGGCGGCCGGGGGAGTGCCCGGGCTGCAGCGCTCGTGTGATGCGTATGTGGTGGTGGGCTGCCAGGGGGCGCTCCCCGGGCGCACCGCCGTGGTGCACGACAGCTACTTCCCCGTCTGGAACGAGGCCTTTGTCTTCGACGGCGTGCCGCACTCGGCCACGCTCACTGCGCAGGTGAGGAAAGGAGGACTACGTGGCAGCAAGATAGAGGGGCCAATCCTTTCATCGTGCGAGGCCCGAGCGAGAAGGCGCCTGTTGCCCCTGCCCCAAGCTGCTGCAGCGGTGGATGCGGCCAAGTGGCTGAACTTGTTCTGCTTTTGCGACTTAAACCTTTTTGCAAGGGACGATGATCAGGCTCTTTTCGACGTGCAATTCGCAGCAACAATTTCTGAATGCCCCTTTTCCTGTGCGCAGGTGTTCAGCCGGCGCGCGGTGGGCGCGGACGTGTTCGTGGGCGAGGTGAACGTGCCGGTGGCGTACCTGGACGACACGCTGCCGCGCTACCAGTGGCTCACGCTGCAGAAGCGCACCGAGAAGGACCGCGTCACGGGGGACCTCCGCCTGCGCCTGCACTGGCGCTCCGACGTCGTCGCCACCGACGAGGACCAAGGCCACGTGCTTGAGGTGGGCGCCCAATGTACACTCTAGCATCCTTGTACAAAGGCCATCACATGTTTGCCTGATTGGATGCAGTTGATCTGGAGGGGAAAATGTTCCAAGGCGGGCCTCACTTGCGTCGCAGTGCATGTACAGAGTACCAGTGCTCGCGTACTCCAGGCTTGACAACTCCGCCATCCGATATCTGCCGCCGCACGTTTACCCTGTGTCGCCGGCCCGGCCCTCGGGAACAGCGCCTCTCGAAACCAGATTCGTTCCGCCTTTATTGCTGACGTAATACCGCTCGGTTGCAGGTGAATCTGGCGGGCGTGGGCTTGTCGGTGGTGGACCACGTGCCGCGCGAGATTGCGCGCGTGACGCTGGGCGGGCTGCACTTTGCGCGGCGCGTGTCGGAGCGCGAGCAGGTGTACGAGCTGACCATCGGCAGCGCGCAGGTCGACAACCAGCTGCTTACAACGACGCAGCCCGTCGTGCTCATCAAGGCGCAGGTGGGGCGCAGCTTGTTCCGGAGCAAGATGTACTGGGCTGCTCCTCAAGGCGCCCGCAAGAAAGCCTGCTTGGAGGCTTGGCAGCGAGAAAGTCCCTCCATAATCGCTGGATGTACTGGAGCCGCAGACCCGCAGGACCGCTCGTTCAGATTCCATGAGTTTCGTTCCTTTCCAGCCGATCACCGAACGGCTAAGCTAGGAGCCATGCCCTGGGAGAGGCCGGCCGCCTAGATGTTTGTCCTTTTGTTTGCATACGACATACTCATTGCCCTACTATGCTTCTCCGAGTGGACGGTACAAACCAATGGTTCGGAACCCGTGTGCAGAACGTGCGGCGCGAGCGCGAGAAGGCGGTGGGGCTGCCGCTGGTGACGCTGGAGTGGGCGGTGCTGGGCGGGCAGCCGGGCATCACGTATTTCAAGAATTTCCTGTTCATGCTGCAAGAGGTGGACCTGCACCTGGAGGAGGACTTCGTGGACGCGCTCATCGCGTACGCGCACGGCCTGCCCCTGCAAGACCTGCACGACCCCAAGTACGCCGCAGCGGTGAGGGACTCACAATCTGAATGATCCGTAGCGTGGTACCAGGCTGTTTTTTGAGAGCGCAGTGCAGACATTTAACAGTTTTGAGTGTACCTCCCCTTGAGTGCATTCGTATGCTGCTGTTGTCTCTCCAGACGACAATTGAATCAAGTGGGGGGCAAGCCGCCATCCTCCTCCCTTAGGCGGAGGCTCTGGTGTGCACAGCAAGGGGCCACTTGTCTTTCCGTCTTTCGAATGTTGTTGCAAGGTCGGAGCTTGAAATATCAACAATACCTTTGCCTCCAAGCAGTCTCATCTTTATCGTTCAATTCGCCAATCGGCCTCACTTCCGTGCCACTTCCGGTGATGTGCTTAATGCCTCTAACACGACATCGATTGTTTTCGGCTCTTGCCGACCTGTCCTCTGACCCACTCCTCGCCCCCCCGTGCAGTCGTCGTGGGCGGAGCCGTCGTTCTTGCTGCAGGACGCGTACTCGCACTCGCTGCTGGACCCGGCCAACTGGGTGACGGGCAAGCAGGGCACGCGCTGGTACTTCGAGCGCTTCTGCATCCGCCCCGTGCGCGTCAACGTCGACTTCGCGGTGGACCCCGGCTGGCGCGAGGCCGACAACGCCGCCTGGCAGGTCCGCAAGTACGCCTCCGCGCTCGGCTTCCCGCTCGTCTCCTTCACCACCGCGCCGCTGCGCCTCAACAGGTGAGCGCCGCCGCCGCCGCATACTTGTCCCCGTCACCAAAGTGTTCCGAGCCGCTGAAAGACCGTCAGTGCTTGCTCTCAGCCTTGTGCCAGGTGGCTTGTCCCACAGAAAGCTGCTATGATTGATTGAACGAAAGCTGTATCTTGATTGCGGTACAGTCGGCGCCCTTGATTAAACTCTCTTCAGCCAAATCTGTCCGCCACGGTCATCTCAATAAGATCCGAACTTGCAACTTCCTGATTGACCCCGCAACCTGTTCTTTTGCGTGCAGCCTGGTGCTGGACAACGTGTTTCTGAACAGCGACCGGCTGGTGCGCGCGGTGTCGAACCACTACCTGATCCAGAGCCTGCAGGAGATCCACAAGATCCTGGGCAGCCTCGACCTGCTCGGCTCGCCCGTCAGCCTCGTGCACTCCCTCGGCACCGGCGTCCTCGACTTCTTCACCGAGCCGGCCAAGGCCACCACGTAACCACTCTTTCTCCGCATTTTTGCTTTTTACACCTTTCCATCCTTGGTTCCATAATTAAGAAGTTTTGTCGAAGGGATGTTGGAAGGTGTTCTTGTCGTCCCGAGTGGTTGCAAGGTGAAGTGGTATACGACTTTAATAAGGGAATGGAGTGCAGAGCTGGGCGGTAAAAGTACTAACAAGCAAAGGAGGGTCCGCGCAACATGATCGATGAACTGGTTTACTGCACTCGCCCATCCAGAGCGTGTGAAGGATCGTGGTTGCTGCTGACGGTTGCCCATATCCCGTGTGGCAGGCCGGAGGAGTTTTTCAAGGGCGCGGCGGCTGGGTCGATCAGCCTGGTGAAGAACAGCGCGTACGGCGTGTTCAACTTCATGAGCCTGCTCATGGGCAGCGTCAGCAAGGGCCTCGCCGTGCTCTCCCTCGACGACGACTTCGTGCAGCGCTTCTCCGAGCGGCCCGCCAACACGCAGGAGGCCTTCATCCAGGGCGCGCAGGTAAAGCACAAGCACGCATCGCGGACGGAAAGCTCTTGCCGTTTTGTCAGAGTATGTGCGGCTTCGCTCTGCAAAGGTCCCAGGTCACCGCTGGATTGGGGCCCCCTGCGCTCTGAAGCGTTTGGGCCAACTCCCTCCTCTCTTCTGAAGATGACGGTGTTCGCACAATTTAGTAATCGTTTGAATCACGACCACAGCTCGCGCCTACACACGAAGAGCTCTTGCTCTTGCTCTCGGTAAGATCAGAGCGTCGGCTTCTTCTTGGCTGAGGGTGTGGATATGGTTGCAGATTTCCCACTTCCCCATTGGATTGAGGCCCCTTGCGCACTCAGACGACGGACCAGCTCGCTGCTGACTTCTGGAACAAGATCTCATATTCCGAGATCAGCCTAGTCACCTTACAAACAAAATCCGCCATTCGCTGCGTTCGCAGGGCGTGGGCCAGGGTTGCTACGAGGGCATCGGCGGCCTGGTGACGAGCCCGCTGGCGGGCGCGGAGGAGAACGGCGTGGTGGGGTGCGTGCAGGGCACGGGGCACGGCCTGGTGGGCGCGGTCACCAAGCCGCTGTCCGGCATCTTCGCGTGCATGTCCAAGACCGCGGGCGGGGTCGGCACGGGGATCCGCAACATCGGGGATGACGTCATCAGGGCGCCCCTCGTGCGGGTGCGGCCCCCGCGCAACTTTGGCCGGGAGGAAGGCGTACAGGTGAGAGGGGAAGGGCTCGGCGTCGGCGTGATTTGCGGAGGCTTGCTTGTGGGAATGAGGGATGCCTTGGTTATCTCGTCGCAAATGCTTCCTTGGTTCCGATGAGAATTTTATTAACCGGCGTGCAACTCCTGAAAATGCCCCACCTTTCCTTGGTCCACTTTCTACCGTCCGTTTTCGTTTTAGGATGCGACTCCTCGAAGCATCAGTCGAAGTAGATGCTGTTGTGGTATTTTCACGCATGTCCAGCAGAAGGACTGTGCTGACACCTCGTATGTTCGCGCCCATCTGCAGGCGTCGTCAAAGGAGTTTCAGATTCTGGCGACGACGCTGAGCCTGCTGAACGGGGGTCGCTACGCGGGCGAGCGCATCGTGGACTACTTGCAGATCCAGGAGCACAAGGCGCTGCTGATGACGGACCAGCGCGTCATCTACTTCGACATCCGCAGCCACAAGGCCAAGGCCGTCGTCAACTACCAAGGTGCGGCTCCGAAGTGGCCCCACGCTTTTTCAGAGAGTTTACCAGGCAATCTCCTTTCTCACAACGAGGAGGTCTCGACACGCTTCCCTATGCTATGTAGATGCATATAAGACTGTCCTGGTGATTTTTGAGTCGAAGATTTTGGACCTTGAACAGCTGTCGTGACGGCTGATGGCGATGCAAGCACGAGTTCCGCTTGCTACCGAATCCTGCCCAATCAGCTTCACGCGTTTGTTACTTCCACTCTGGCCTGGGTCCTTTTCACTGCTTCTCTTTTGCCAGCAACGGCTCTTGGGGCCACCGTCTTTCCCCGCCATGACAAAACCTCAATCCTCTGACTCGCCGTGCGGCTGGGGGCGCAGACATGGTGTCAGTGGCGGGCATCGAGGGCCGCCTGGAGGTGGCAATTGCGTGGACGGCGATCTTGTCGCTGGGGGGCGCCAAGATGCGCATCCCGCACCAGCTGCGCCTCAAGTGCCGCACGCGCGACCTGCACCAGAGCCTGCTCGTCAAGCTGAACCGGCACGCCATCGCGTTCAAGCGCGGCCTCACCTTCACCGTGGACCACCAGCTGACGGGGCCGCAGGACGACGCGGACCACAGGTCAGCGCCTCTGGTCGGGTGTCGAGAAGAACAAGCTTCAAGCACAAATAGACTTGATGGAGTGATTTTGAGAAATCGTTAGATATATGAAGGTTCTCAAAGAAAGATTTCTCTATTTTTGAAAAGAGAGATCATGATCAGCAAATCTGTTTAGAAACAGGAAGAAACTGACGGGGTCCTAGCAACAGTCTGCTCTTGAATTCGTTGCAAACACGCCATGCCTGCCCTGAGTGTGCTTCAAAGTTTTTGCTTGACTACTCTAGTTTGGCGTTTCTATCAGCGTCGCAATCGGGGTCAAGTTTTGTTCGTACCCTCAAATCTTTCCCCACTAGGAAGCGACGCGAAGCATTTCTCTGGTTTCCTCCTCCTCATCACAGTTCCCTGGATGCCCCTGCTGAGCCGTGTGCTTCTTTGCAGGGCTGAGACCCTGGCGCGCCTGTCTCTCTTTCAAAAGGGCCACATCAGAGGGAGAGACTCGACTCGCCAGCTGGACAGGAAGCGCAGCATCCGGCAGCGGCTGACGTCATCAAGCCGTCGGAAACAGTTAGCCGAGGACTCGGAGGGTGAGGATGACGAAGAGAAAGAAGGGGAGGACGAAGCGGCGCCTGTGGGGGCAACGGAGGGAGCTGCGAAGGTCGGGGAGCATCTCCGAGAAGAAGAGCAGAGGTCAAAGGAAATTGGGGAAGGGGCGACAGACGGCCCAGAAGAACGGGGAGGTGGGGCAGCGCAAGTCCCGGGCCTTGAGCCGGGAGTGCGCTTGGGAAGCAAAGAACCGCAGAGTGCAGTCAGGAGCGGCGGAAAGGGTCTTGAAAGAAGTGATGCTAAAGAGGACGAGACGAGCAAGAAAGAAGCGGACCGCAAAGGGAAGGCCAAGGCGGAAGAGCCTTCAATCCCGGCGAAGTCGTTTGAGCGCAGCGACAGTATTGTTGGAGGGGAGTCAGAGCTTGCACAGACCCTGGAGACCATCGCAGAGTTGTGCAACGTGGTTGAGATGGATCCCGAGTCCACGATTGCGACGGTCGGGCTGCTTTTGCGGGATGCAGTGGGTTTGCCTGCATCTGCGCCGATCCGACCTCTCCTGGGCTCGATGCTGGCGCTGTGCGAGCGCGCGCAGGGGGGCGCAGGGCCGCTCAGAGCGCTGGGCAATCTGGTGGCTGTTGCGCAAAGGAAAGTTGCGCTAAGTAGCAAGGAGCGGCTTGACGTTGAGGACCAAGAAAACGGTGGCCGGGTTTTCGAAAGCGGAGAATCTGAGGAGGCGCCAGATGGCGTAAGACTGGAAACGAGGCCCAAGAAGCTACAGGCTCTTGGCCCGAGACAGTCTGAAAGAACGGAGGGTGTCTCGGGCGCTGCAAAATACAGGCCTAGGGTGGGACTCAGACTGGAGATTGACGGGACAAGTCAAAGCAAAGACTAACAACAACTGACGGAACGCACACAATGGCCTGAAGAGAAGGCTGGTCGAGCGTTGAGGGTTGGTGTTGGATCGCGCTCGATTATACAAGGAAGAAGGAGTTTGCACAAGATGAGGGAAGATAGATCATTGCACACACACTATATCTAGGCAGGTTGCATACTGTGCAGACTTGATAAGCGATCAAGCTGCATCCCCGGCTCAAGCTGTACATTATTGAGTAACCTTATTGCAGTCAACAAGTGCATAGCGAGCAAGGCGAACGATTGGTTCGATGTCAATTAATCAACTTTATCTGGTTGTCGATGCAACAAATTCCAAGTAGGGAAGCTGCCTTTTTCATGGTTGTCCCGATCATGAGTCCATGCAACCCCATGGACATGAAACCCGGTCAACTTCGACTTCCATGACGTTATTTTCAATCAATGGAATCTGCTTTATCTGCCTTCAGTGCTCTGTCCGCTTACGCATAAGTAGATTTCATGGCCCTTGCAATTCGATGAAACTTTCGAAGGATAAGACCTGCTACGCGGTCCATTCAATTGTCGGCAAATGTAACATTTTATGATAGAGTATACCATGCGCGACCTAGGTTGATTATCTATATGCCAAGTTGAATTGGGCTGCGCGGTGCGGCCATACAATAATCTGCACAAGCTTCGTGCGAGGATCGAGTCACTAGCCTTAAGCAGTACATGTTGTTGCAACACGCGTGCACTCTGCAGGTCATCATGCACAATGATGCATCCCCATTTTTGATGCACAGCGCGCAACTTTGCTTCAGAAAGGATCATGGCAGATTGAGCAATTCGATGGAAGGGGAGTATGCACTCTTGGTTGGCAGATTGCTTTGCTGATTGATCTCATTGCAAATCATGTTGTAGATTTGCAATCTCCTGCAATGCTTGCTCAGCTTCCCTGCCACATTGATCAGGAAGAGTCATTGGTCATGAGACGGCATCTGTTACTGTCCAGCCATGTTGGTGCTTTTGCGGAATGCAGACGATCTTGGCTGCCCAAGTTCGGTACCAATCCTAGCAACCACCACTTCTGAGCACCTAAAGTGTATCAGAAGCTGTACCGCTGCACAGCTCTCGTTTAGTTTAATAAGCCTTGAGCCTTGATGCTGCTTATGAAACGCCGGTAATGTTGAGATTTTGAGGGGTACAATGGTCACTTTGGCGTTGTAGGGCTGCATATACTGCAACGTTGTCCAACAATCACCTTCTCATTCACCAATTTCTAGGTTTCAAGCATGCCTTCTTTCAAGGGGTATTTTGGCTTAGGTCCCTGCTCACTGCTTGCATCCATTTTGGGTTGCTTTTGAAGCCCCCAACTTGCAAGAATGGCTTAGGTCCCTTCTCACTGCTTCCTCAGTGTTGCTGCAGCTGGCAGATCGGCGTACTGGAACGCTAATCCGGGCCTTGGGGGATTCTGGAGGAATTGGGGTTTGAAACAGGTCACAACAGGGGTTAACAAGGACCACATACCATATGTATAAGCATCGAAGCCTGGGGTTTTGCAAGCTGTACAATACGGCACCATATACTATGTAAAGGGTTTCTCCTACTCGGATAACAATGTGAGTATCTAGCATTATATGAATACATACAGGGAGGAGTGGTGACTCTGAAATTACTTGTTATTTGAGCAATCAAGCAATTACGGTCATTTGTGAAGCTATAAAGGAGGGGTGCACCTTGAAAATTACTTGTTATTTCAGCAATCAAGCAATAACGAGTCAACCATGGTGATACAGAGGGGCCGTGCACGGCGTAATTAGGCTAATTCAAGTAACGTGAGCAATTGACCTTCTGTGATGTATGTGAGGGCCTTGCATGATCCACAATTAGCCTAATTCGAGCAATTGAGCAATTGTACGTCAGAGGGGTTGACGAAGGGACCGCGCACGCCATAATTAGCGTAATTTGAATAACACGAGCAATATGCCTTTCGTCAATTATGCTGGAAGCCTTGTAATTACGTAATTCCGGTAATTTGAGTGATTCAGGGGTGCACTTAGCAGAATTGCTCGAATTAGGCTAATTATCATGGAAACCATGGGAAGGGTGCATCTGTAGGCTCTTCGCACTATGAGCGAGGGGTACACATACATCCTAGGAAGTCAAACACCTTGTAATTAGCTAATTCGGCTAATTCGAGCAATTGAGAAGTTGTAGTTAGCAGAATTGCTCAAATTACCTAATTATTATGGAAAACATGGCAGGCATGCACCATGGGTCTTGGTGTTTTGAACGAAGGAACATCCGAGGGATGTCAAAGCACCTTGTAATTAGCTATTTTGGCTAATTCAAGTAATTGTGAGAGGCTCCCCGTCCAAACAAGGGTTGCATCACTCCACAGTGGACTGGCATCAGCGTACTGCGCGCTCCTCCTCTGCACCAGCTGTAGTGCAAGCTTTAGTGCAAGCAATCTGCAAGCAGCCCCCTCCCCCTCAGCCCCCCTGATCTTCAAACGCTCGGGTGTACGAGCCCTTGTCCTAACGAGCTTTTGCTCCCCTTCGAAAGCTCGTCTCTAAGCATCTTCCTGCATACCCTGCAGATGTTTGCCAGAGAGCTTTCGCTCCCCTTTGGAAGCTCGTCTTAGAGCCCCTTTCTCAGCCCATTCACTGGGAAGCTCGCCGGTCTTTGAGCCTTTCTCCCACCTTCCCCCTCGCAAGCTGGCACGTATGTCTACGTGGTCCAGCGCCCGCGACAAACTTCACGATCTTCAACCAGATCGGGCTTTGCCACCTTCGGCGCTCTCAATGAGCTTCAAGCCACTTTCGGCGCTCTCATTGAGCTTTGCCAGCTTCAGCGCTTTTGGCAAGCCTTCAAAGCTGCCACCTTCTGCGTGGCGCTCAGTACAAGCACTGCCACCTTCGGCACTCTTCACATGCTTTCAAGCCAACCGGCGGCGCTCTCGTCTGGCTTTAAACAACGCCTGGCATAGATATCCTGTGACGGAACAGCTTCGTTCGAGGTACCGACCAGACTTGAACCTATTACAAACGATCCCATCTACAATCAGGCCTCTGAATTGAGCCCCTTTCACCTTACGTTCTTACTGCAAGCCGCGATTATTTCACCAACTCTTCATGACATGGCCGACTGTCGTGCGATATGACGTTCTTGCGAGATGACGTCCTTGACATGCGATCATGGCCAAAATGAAAAAGATATGTACAATCATAGGCACGCATCATC